CAAGTGACAGAAGTATGCCACAAGAAATCGCTTAGAAACCCCGGAGCCCATCCTTGTGCCCTGCTTGCACTTTGCATCCCCAGAGCCGTGCCTAGGTCATAGCCGAGGGTCAGGCCTGCCTGGGAATGAAGGGGTTTGTGAGGGATTCGGGTGAGGGCGCCGGGCTTGGAACACCGAGGGTCTTGCAAAGAATGGCAGTGTGTTTTGGGGTCCAGCTGGGCGAAATGGAGACCCAGTTGCATGCTGCGCTTCAAAGGACATGACAGCGGAGTTGAGCACAATGAGGATGCAGATGCCCGTCTCGAACCTCAGACCAGCGACATCGAAGACACGCACCTCGGCACCTCACATGAAGAAGTGCTTTGAATTTCAGCCAGGTAGCATCGGGTCAAAGACGAACTTGAAACAGCCCCTGGGCTCCTCTACCTGGCAAACAGGTTTGGGCTGTTTAGGGTTCTGGGTTCTATACGGTTCGGCCTTGTGGAAGCTTAGACCTGCCTGCCGAAGTGCCTCTTTTGTGGTGCCAACTGAGGCCAGAAAAAGGAAGAGGAGGATGGAAGTAGGGATTGGGGACTAAGGGGTCAGCACACTGCAAGCACAAAGCCACGAAGAGCCCTTCCGCCTGGGCCCTGAAACTCGAGCGACTGATGCCTGCGGCACCCCAAATATAAAGCCACAGCCCTGGCTGAAGCCGCACCCCTGGAGAGATGGCGGTTCCTTGAGGACGCCGGAGCTTGCCGACCCCATTCGCTCGAAGCGGCTCCCCTTTGGAAAGCGAAGGTCTTGACAGTCTCGAGATTAAGATATGGGAACAGGGTTTCGGCTTCCACAATTGTTTCTTGCTCACGGTTGAGGTTACGGTGTTCAGGCTTCTTGGTCTGGTTGGGCGTGGGCATCGACTATTGTTCATGCTGTAGTCTCTTCAGAGGGAATCTGTTCCTGACACATTCTCAGCTGTATGTTGTGCTCAACGTGCCGCAGTGCCCACCGGACTTCTTCCAAATGACAACAGTAGAGTCCTAGTTACGTGACCTCTGGAGGCTCCTGCTCTTCCCGTGCTGGTTCTCACGTCACTCAGGGCTCTACGGATACACAGTTTTGGTTTATAAATCTGGCACTCGATGCCAAGCGGCATGGTCCCGCTTCTTCGCATCTGTGTCTGGCTGCGCTGACTCACGCAAGACCTTCCAAGAATTCGGGAAACCAAGTGCGGGTCTCACTCATGCAGCCCACGGGTCCACGGGGCTTTGGGCAGTAGCTTGACATGTACTTGCAACGGGTGATTCAGGAAGACGGATTGCTTGTTCAGTGAAAAAAAAAGGCTTGAAGCCTGACACCCCTTTCAGGCCCCCTGAAATAACTCCACGTCCTGCCTGGTTTCAGAGATGCTTTCCAAAACTTCAAGAAGATCTTCAACTTTAAACCGTCCTCTCCCTGGACCCCTAAATGCCCCGGAGGAAAATTTGGAGGACAGCCTTGGTCTGGCCCTGCACGCGGATCACATGGAACTCTGTACTCTTGCGGCCGCCAAGGGAGGAGGGATCCTGGGATGGAGGGATTTGGGATTTTGGGGAATCTTCCAACGGAAGATTTTGGGTTCTTCCACTAGTTGCTTCGACTGTAACTTTGGCGACATTGCACGAAATCAGTCTGAACCTGAATTCGTGCACCCCAGTCTCGTCCGACTTCTTCTTTTCGACCTTCTCGTCGGACTTCTTCCTTTCGACCTGCAGAAACTAGGCACGAGTGAAGTCATGAACGCCTATAAAACAAAACGTTACAAGACTTCGATGACAGGTCCGCTCTTCGTCAAGCGGGGATCCCGTTTAACGACATAACGGAGGACGCTCACAAGAATGCGTTCCCGATTTGGGCTAGTCATCGAACCCCTAAGCCCTCTAAACCCTGAACCAAAGTGCCAAAGTGAGCAAACTCATGATCACTGCAGGACACTCTGGTTTTGACGACTATTCCTCCCAGACTGTTCCCACCCGGCGGACAACATTCAGTGGTTTTCATGCTCAACGTTGACCTATCGGCAGCCAAAACCCGATACTTAACGTGCACTCTTGGGAATCACTCTTTAAAGCTGCGAAGACCGCACGCCTGTAGAGCATCCGTCTCGGTGATTTTCCTCAGCTGGAATCTGGAGCGCCAGGAAAATAAAGACCCCAGCCGTTGGCTGGAAGATAGACTTCGCATCCAGGCGTTTTTTGTGTGAGATACTCTTCAGTGAAACAACAGATGAGGCAATTGAGCGAAACATCACGGCAATCCGACATTGGGGCACCTGCCTGTCAGATTATATATATATATATATAGAGAAAAATCGCCTCAGGCAAACCCTGGGCATGCTGTGTTGAATCTCGTCCTCGTCACGAGCTGATTCCAGAAGGCGGCGGCTGCTTCGGATGATCGCACGATGTAGCACGTCTTCTCGTTCAATTGTCTCTTCACGTTTTGCGTGCTTAGCTTAGAGGCTTAGAGTCCGTATATATTTTAGTCTGAAAAGAAATGAAACATGAAGGTCTCCGGCCATCCACGCGATTCAGCAAGGGCAAGTTAGCAGTGTCCGGCTCAGCTTCCTCTTTCTTCTGCAGATCGTCCGCTCTTCCATCCATGAGGTGCCAGAAACCGGTGTACTTGCAAAAGTTCTTCGTGAACCGTGGGAGGTGCTGTTTCTGCCTATCCCAATGAAAGGGCTCTGGAGGAAGCGGCTTGCAGCTAGAGCCTCAACCTCTCAAGGCACAGACTTTGAAACCACGACGTTTTCGGGGTGCCCCAAGAATGATGTCGTTTGAAATCTCTTGCCTCTCTTAAATGGAACCTGAGCCTCTCAGAACAGAGACGGTTAAACAACGTGGTTTCTGAGGTGCAACTCCAGAAGTGCGCCCCCAAGACGATGTCGTTTCAAATCTAGCCTAATGAAAGCCAGAGAGTTACAGCAGGGCCAATTCAAGCTCGTGTTTTTGTTTTTTGATGTTTGCATGTCTTTGTTGCCCGCACTCCTTCAGCTGCAGCATCAATACAGGACTGTTCACATTCATACGTCCGCGGTTCTATCCGTTCTTACTGATGGTGTGCGAACAAGCCGCATCATTTCTGCCGAGCCATTCTTGTCAGTCCTCAGCTGCCACGCGTGGACTCTGCTGATCCTAGCTGCGTGTAGGGCGAGCACGTGGACATGCCGGCTGAATGTCAGAGACCCTGCATCCTACAGTGAAGGGCATGGTCACGCAGCAGTTCACAGTCTCAAACAGATTTTATGCCCCATGGCTTTCCATACTGGTGAAAGTTTCAGGGTGGCGTGCAGATACCATGCAACGCTGGAAGCAGAATGCAAGTGAATCGAGCACAATCGGGCTTTCAAAGCCTCACGAGCCTTGAGGACTTGAGGACGGCATTCGCACAAGTTTCCCATCACCAGCAATCAAGCAGAGCACCTGGACCGACCATTGCTTCCGGTCTCCGAAGATGTTACGAGGGCTACGAGGGCCATGCCCAGCTTCAGACCTGTAAACCATTGCAACTTACCTGTGAGGCGCTCGCTTCGCCCTTTGGGCCAGCTGCTCCGCCGAGTCCACTACTTCGGCAATGGATCCTATGGTTCCGCTGTCTCTCCAGGTCAGCCAGGGATCTCATTCTTCAGCAAATCTTTCTTTCGCAAAAGCCTGGGCTGTCGCATAGCCTATGCTCTTACGACTCTCTGATTTCAATTCCTCAGTGCTGATGCATCGGACATGTCGGTGCCGATGATTTTGCATGGAGAAGCAATTTCGAAATTAACTATTTCTTACAGAGGCTCTACAAAAGGGCTGTGGACGTGAATGGCTAGTCTTCGGGTTTTTCAATGTTTGGGTTTCAGCAACGACAAGCTCCCGAAATCCCTAGAACGGCCCTCAAATAGTCGAAGCCAGACTGTTTGACATGCACGAGATCGTTGGGAGTGCTGTGGTTGAGCGGATGGAATTTGCCCCTGCCAGGGAAAACTTCCCTCAACCCCAGCCAGGTGCCTTAGAGGGCTCTTCTTCCTCGAAAAGCCCTTGAGACGAGCCCAGGGACTGGTTCAGCTCCTGAAGTAGCTCATGATGCCGGATCGCTAGCTCGTCCCGTTCTCTCTGAAGTGAAGCATCCAGCCTCAAGAAGCCGTGCGGCAACACGGCAAAAACCAGGAGCCGAAGGTATAGAACGTTTAGGATCATCTTCGGGCTTGACTAGGGGCTGCAGAGAAGCACCTGCAAACCTTCAGGCTTCTACGCAAGGGCTTGCACTGGGGCATGAGCCTAAGGTGCATGGTGGCCCAGCAAGCGGCAATCATCAACCAAAGTCTTGCTCTGCAAAACGGCAAAAACCACTGCCTAAAACCAGGTTGATGTAAGGACTCTGCACGTGAATTCCAGACCCCAGCCCTTGCTTGGAAGGACCCATGCGTATTTAGGGATCGCACAGGCTCCATCTTGCAGTCGGAGCACCAGGAAAAGAGATCTCGCGTCGCCATTCCCAGGAGAACGAATGAAACTAGTAATTTGAGGAAATCTAACAGCCCCAAATGGCCCCAAAGTCTGTCGCTTACCGCCCCTTAGCCCTCATCAAGCCCAAACGTCAATAAGTTGACTGCATCATGTACTGGGCTTTGTTACCGCCTTTCAGGGCACATAGATGCCCACAGATCGACAAACGGCGGCGGAAGAGACATTGTTCGGTAAAAGGCTACCGGCACAGGGAGAATCAGGAGCTCCTGGAATGGACAAGTCCAACTCAGAAGCAGAAATAAGCAGAAGCTTCAGGACCCCCCCGCTTGTGCCCCCCTGAACTCTTGGTAGACAAACTAACAAACCTGGCTCCAAGGGGCCTCAGAGGTTTGGGATGCTTGGCTTGAGTTCAGGCCCAGGCGCTTCGGAAGCCTAGAAGTCCCAAAAGCCACGCCTCGCATGATCCCTCACATGCCCCCCCCCCCCCCCCCAGAACCCGGGCTTCGACTTCCCATCCCCCCGGCGCGCCCTGGCCGCGTCGACCTTGCTGAAAGCATCTTCCAGGAGTTCGAAGGAGCTGGGCCCTGCCAGCTCCTTGCAAGGTGGAAAGAGCTGTGTGGAGCGAAGAGCTGAGGATGCGCTCAAGGAATTCTCGAGCATTGTGGATTCTAAGACGCTGATGGGGGCCTAGTCCCTGCCATGGGGCGACAGCTGAGTGCGGAAGCCCTCTGATGACAAACGCATGTCAAATGCATCTCACCGCTCCATCGCGTGCCAGATGGCACAACTGGAAGGATACCCGCTGGGAATCTAGTGACCTCATCTACACTCGACAGGCTCAGACGATGGAACGTGCAAGAAGCTTCAACATGCTAACACAACGTGCGTTTCAACCGGCTTCAGAAGGCCTCAACCATGGCTTCCAAGCGTTTGCCGACCTCAGGCCATCGCTTCTCGGACGCTTCTCGGACTCATTTGGGCTGGCTGAGGCATTGTGCTTCGGGGGTGACGGTGCTATCGGTAGACTTCCACTTACACCTAGACATTACAGCATTAGGGGTTCAGCCTAGACCTATACTAAAACAGTACAGTCTTGAAGGCGCTTTCGACTTCTTCGGCGTGCGGAAGGGATAAGCTGGCCAGTGTTTTGAGGTTCAGTTGGCTACGTTCAGCAACACAGCGCAAGAGCCAAATCACTATGCCTTCCCGATAAGTCGTTAGCGCGAGCCTCTAGGGCAGGTTCGGGTTTGAGACATGTGTGCTGCCAAGCGGCATCATCCTCGGCGAACCGACTCGGACACCTCACCACTACGGCATCTGACGATATGGGATGGTGGGAGAGCTTCGAAAGATGCAACAGGATGCCCCTTTCAGCCTTAAAGCCAGTAACCCGACAGGAAAAGGTCCGGCTCCAACTGTGACACGGAGCGTTGCTAGACTCTGGCCATCCTGAACACGCTCATAGGCCCAAGAAAGTCATGACCTAAACTGGTCCATGCCCAAGCGCTCTGACTTCGTGCAGGGCGGCTGCAGGGCATAGGCCTGTGAGGCTTCAAAGCTCAGGTCACATCAAGGGGCCATGCAGACTTTGCGTCGGGGCTTCAGCTTGGAGATTCAGGAGCTGCAGAAACCCCGTCCTTATTCTTTTGTTGAGAGGGGTGGGAACTGGAGGCACATGCCAACTTCTTCGGCTGACAGACTGTAGACTCCACTGTAGACACTTTAGGCATGGAGCTCAAGTTCTGTGGGTTTAACTCACTGGCCTTTAGGGCCTTCCCATGTACATCTCACTGCCGCCACCGACTCTCACAGGGTTAAGTCCATTTGAGAAAGCCGAGACAGTCGGCCTGAGCGTCCTAGATAGAATAGGCAACATACTGCACGACAAGCGATGAAGATTACACACCTCGTCGTAGTCCAAGGTCGTCTCAACGCCGTCCCAGCCTGGCGTGCCACCGGTGCCTGTCCCAGCTGCGCTGTTGGAAGGGATTCAGGCCTTGGGAAGTGCCTGTCGTGTCGACAGGCCTCACTTCCGGACTTGGTTTCTCGCAGCCTGGATCACCTCCCAAACCCTTTATTTATCCCGAAGATCCAACATCTCAAAGTCCTCAGCCCCTAAACCCTCCGAGGGCCTCCGGAGAAGCAGCCCATGTCCGTGACAACCGGCATGACAGACTCCCTCTCCAAGCTCGAGTTGCAACATGTTGGGGTGTCTTGGACAATCTTGGAGAGGGGGTTTATCAGGTTTGGAAGTGTCGGAAGGTTTGAGTGATGCCTGACAAGTCGTTTGAGGTGGGGCGCGTAGCTTCGCAAAACTTTGGAGTAAGGAGTGCAGAGGCACCCGCTCCTGTCCGGCCTTGAGTTGAATCTTGAATGCTCTCAGCCTCTCTCTCCTTCTGATTCAAGGTCACTGGTGCGCTTGTGGGGTGCCAATGTAGTGGATAAGTTTGCCGGAATTTTAGGGGACAACAGCTACTCTCACGGAAAATTCTGTTGCGTCAGAACTTCAGGATTCGGGATGAGAATGAGGAGACAAAACGTCCTCAACTCTAACTGCCCCGACAAATTTCCCATGGTGCCTTTTGGGAGGTTGCTGGAGCCAGCGCAAGATCTCTTGGCCTCGAGGGCGCGCAGGGCATTCAAAATGGGCGCCCTCAGAAGGATCGGACACAGCGGAAACGTGCTTTTGGGACGGCATTCGCACAATGTAGCCATCCACTCGAGAACCCCAAAGCGATGGAGCGGCTGCAACTATGGGGCTCCGGGTGATTCAAACTTGCAATTATCTTTCTCTGCCCCGAATCCGCATGGATCGTGATTTAAAGCAGTCCTACACTTTGGCTTGGCTTGGCTTTGCTCGGGCTTGGCTCGGAATGCAAGTACGGTGAGCCCTCAACTCCAGAATTATCTTAAACTAGTTTTCGCGGAGGCAGGGGGCAGGCCAGTACCCCTCAATGCAACGATCCACCTGCGGGGCAGGGTGGCGGGGGCATGTCGGGCGGAGGAGGCCGCTCAGGCTCCAAGATGTCCTGCGTTTCGAGCAAATATGGCATTCAAGGATAACGGTGTAGGGTAGGTTGCCAGCAAAGGCAACATGTGCAGCAGCCAGAGCACCCAAGCAAAGCCACAAGGACATGATGCATGAAGTCGTGGCAGGAGTAGGACGGCCTGTGGCAGGAAATGGAAGAATATCCCTTGGAAAAGCGGCCACTTGATGGGCTTGAATGAAGCTCTTGTATGGCTTTTGAATGCTGGATCATCCTTAATGATCATGAGGAGGGCTCAAGAGGCTCGGGGTGATCAAGAGCTGCACTCGGCACCACCCAAAGCAGAAGAACCGAGTTTGATCTCAGGCACTACAATCGGGCCTTCAAGCGGCACTTTTGTTGCCTCATTCCTATGGGGCTGGTTCGACGGAACCTATGCCATGCATGAACCGTTGATTGTACCCATGAAGACTTCCCAACAAGCATCATTACACATGTTATCTCTCTGCATATATATATATATATATATGTATAACATCTCTACCTGATCTCAACGCATCTGGTATCGTCCACGTGAGCGACCAGATAAATAAGCAGATGGCACTGGGCCTACCATTGTACTTTGCAGTCCTAAACTTCGAAACTCTAAGGATAGAATCGTAAATCTCGGGTTGTGGGCAGGGCTCAGGGAAGTTGACGGTTTTGAACTAAACTGAGTTGAAAGGGCCTCAATCAATGGCTTCAATGTCCTCTTCTTCGGTTTCCTCGCGCTGCACATCGGCATTCGGCTCTGCCGCGCCGGAAAGCCTCGTTGCATCTCGCCACTCACAAACGTGGAACGCCGCAAGGTCCAGCAATGCAAGGTTTGGGAAGCTTGGCGGCGTAGTGTTTGGAAGTTTTGCAGCTCTTCGTGCTTTGCGGGCACTTAATTGTTAGAATTCATACGCCCGATAAGATTAGATTCAGGGTGCCGATTGCCAACAGCTGGACGAAGGCCCTTTTATTTGTCTTCACTTCTTGTATCCTGACTTTCAGCAGAGTTGCTTGGGAGGGTGCACCGGTGGTGGCGCCAAGGGGGCCAGCAGGAGTGGCAGCTCTGGATCCTGTGCCGGATGCCGAACCCCCCCAAAGCCCCGAACACCTGAACGCTCCGAACACACACACACACACACACACACATACGGCGGACCTCAAACCCTGAAACAGTTTCAGCCCCTTAACTTAGTAGCCCAGCAACCATCCTGAAGTAAGGGTGGCCTTTGAGGTGGTGGTTACTGAACTGATGGTAGATCTTTGGGGTGATGCACGGATGCATCCTCATTCTCGCCGATGAAGTTCTCCGCAGAATTCCAGGGCCGCCGTGTTGGGGGCAGCGGGGCGTCCGGCGGTGCTCCTCATGAGGGGATTGAACGGGTTCTGCTGCTTGAGGAGTTAGAGCTTCAGGGCTTTTTAGGTTTAGCAGGGTCTCGGATGGTTTTGGGTATCTTGGCCAAGGGTAAGCTGAGGTCCAACGTTGAAGGGGTGGTTTGGGCGAACAAGCAGCCTTGTCTTGGACTCAAGCCATGTTTGTGAATGTGCCACTCAAGTCACTTCTCACGATCACTCTCACGGGCTTCACGCAAAGCCATCCCCCGCCTGGCGAGCTCCTGGCCAGGAAGGAGGGAGGAGCATTTCGATTTTGAGGGGTGCTTTCCGCCTTACTAAGCCTAGCAAAAGGCCCTATTCAAGAGTCTTGGTTGCACCTTTGAAGATCTAAGGGTGCTCTCAATTAATAGAGTGCCCCTCTTGCGGGATGATCGGGATGCATGATGGTTGTGTCACGTACTTGTTCTGAAGGGGCGGGGAGTCGAGCTTCTCGACATGTGCAAGACTTTGACACGCGCAAACCACCCGTCTACGAACCCCATGTCATGTTCGGGCGGTGTTCTGTATGGTGTTCCAGTGATCCGGCGTGCTTCGCTCTGATCTGACTGGCCTCCTGGAACATTATGTTATAGCTCGCGTAAGGCAAACAATCGCCCAAGGCTCTGACGGGACGATCATGATTTTTATAAGCCTCCCCGTCGGCAAAGCTGCTAATGCCGCACGAGTTGTCGCTTCGAGTCTCAGGCTTGGGAGGACTCTGCACTCAGAACACAGCAGCGTGCCATCAAGGCCTTTCACTGGCGCAGACAGTGGATGCGCAGCCTGTGGCATGAAGGGGTAAACGGGTAAACATGACAGCACCGGAGGGTACTGAACCAACACAGGTTAAGGTTCTACTGGTTTGGGGCTTGCCGATTCCTTGGCGGTTAAGACTCAAGACACGACGATTTAAATGCTGCGCCAAGTAGCGAAGCTGCAGCTACGTGCGAATTGTTTACTACGTGGCCCCGTTCAACTCACACCCATGAATCACTGATATCGCGATATGATACGTCAGACATGATCGGAGCTATGTGATCTGCGGTTGCTGCGAATATCCATCAATCACGTCGGTTTCCGATGGTCCGCCTTCGTTTTAATTGGCATCTGCAGTTCTTCAGTTCAACCCCGGCACATTCGCACCTTCAGCTGCTTCTACCGCGGGTGGCGATGGAGGCACCGTCTTCAGAACTGCCAGGAGCTCCCTGCCGCAGCTGCTTAAAAGCTTGTGTCATTTACGACCGCATCGCCTCCACAAGGCTTATTCGGCCTGCAATCGCTTCCGTATCAAACGTGTCGCAGCAGCAGCTGCGGCACTATTCGCCGCTACGACAAAGGGCAGCAGGAACAAGGAAAGATATGGAAAGATAAGGAAAGACATGAATCTCATTAATGGAAAATGCTGGCCTGGGTGCCTCCGCGCGTGAAGGCGGCCTCAAAATCTCAAAGTCTCAAAGTCTCCGTGTCGACCAGTGTCATGCAGCTGTCCATTCAGTTCCACTTTACGCGGTTGCAAGAGGCCTCTCATGAATCATGCAATTCCTTTCCGAACCTCGCTGTCTGCCACCTGTCCATTCCTTAAGGCCTGAAGCACGCTTTGTGAGTTTGTTTGACTTACGAGCTCAAAAGCCTTTCCTATAGGCGGCGGCGATTACGGCTCATGTCTGGTGGCCTTGCCGGCTCCTCTCGCGTGGAGTCTGAAACCTTGGCATGCGCCATGGATGAGGCTCAGGGCCTGATTATAGGGCTTATAGAGATTTGGGGTTTGGGGCTTTGCAGTCGGGGTGTCATGCGAGGCCAAGGAACGGTTTCCGCTGGGCTCCACGACGGCTTTGGAGGGCTGGCTTCCACCTGAACTAATTCGGGCTTCGATGGGCTTCGGATTGGGATTGCTCAGGGCGCTGGCAGCTTGAAGCCATTCCATGTCCAAAATTTTGTCTTGCAAAACTGCGTAGAGCCTCCGGTCGAACCGTTCAAGATGAACGCATGGGTTGTCGGGCGCGTGGCTATGATACATATAGACCAAATATACATTTCTATATATATATATATATTTGCTATTTATTTGTTTGTTTAAATTTATTTATATATAGAGAGAGAAGGGGAATCCCCAACTTCAACTCTGAAAAGCCCAAGACTCTACAACCCTCAATCTCCTGGCCTTCTGGGTCAGCGCTTGACTCTTTGCCGATGGGCACTCCACAGCTCTGGGCGTGCGTGCGACAGGCTTCGGCCTGAGTCCAACACAACCTCTGGTATCCTTGGGGCGTTCAGAGTTTGCAGTTTGCGTCTGGTCGCAACACTTTTTAAACCAGAAGCTGCTACAAGTAGTGTGGGGTTCAAAGGAGCCTGGTCCCAGCCTCAACACTGAACAGCATTTTGTCTTCCCTGGCCGAACGAAGCTCACATCTCGAGATCTCCTAAGCCCTCTGCTCCAGCGATTAAAGGTTTAGGGCCAAGTTTAGGGTGTAGGCTGATTTAGCTGAGTAGCCCTTCCACCACGGGCCGATGTCTCTCGGTCGGCAGAACTCGCTTCGGATGCTCGCCTGGACATGCTGAGGTCATACTCAGCCTTGCGCAAGGAGCACCGCCAAAAAGGCGTAGGTAGGGCTTGTGGAAAGGGTGCTTTCAGGTTTGGATTTCAGCATGCTTGAGCTTTAGGGTTGGGTTGCGCAGGCTTTGTCACTCTGCTTTCATCAGGACTTGGGGCAACAAGCCCAAAGAAAGTCAACACTAAACACTCTCTCCCACTGGTTGGGAAACACCATGAAACACCCCATTCCGTATCATCCAACCGACTGAAACTCTCAAACAAATTGGCACTCAACTCCCAAGCGACTGTGGCGCTGCACTTGGCACCACTGCTCCGCGGTCGGCTCCTGGAAAGAGGGGACCCTAGAAAAAAGTCCCTGAACAGGGACCCGTCAACCTCGAAAGCCCTGTCTCCCTTGCCCCCTGTTGCCCTCAACTGCAAGCTTTAACTTCAAGGGATCTTCGACGTTGGCGTTAGGGCATCGTTGGGGGTGTCAGATTGAAGGCTTGAGGGTTCAGGGCTTGCAGGCTTGTCTTGTCCATACTGAAAGGAGGGCTCCTGGGCATCATCAAGTTTAGAGAGCTTTTGGCTTCTCATTGGAGGTGTCGGGGCTTGACAGGTGGAGGCCTCTGTTGATGTCGCTCTAAACCAAAACGCCTTCAAACCAAACCCCATCTTCTCACCATGTGAACTCCAAAGGCCCAAAGTCCGAACAACACTGGACCTGAACCCTGAAAGTCTTGAAGCCCATTTCAAGGATCAAAATCAAACTATTCTAGACTCTGAATCTGAAAACCCTTGGCCCTAAATGCCTGGCCAAACCGAGGAGCACTCCAGCCCCAGAACCTAGAGCCCCTAGCCCCCGCCTCTTCCTCAAGGGCCCCAGGGTTTCTGGGTTCAGGAACTTCCTGAAATGCCGACCTCGCCATGCAAGGCTTAAACATGCATGGCCAAAGCGATGTTGCAGTTGGCAACATGTACTGCATCACCCGTCACACTGTCAGCCCACCAATCGAAAAATCCTTGGTCACCTGAGGGGGTGAACTATGACGAGTGTACAAGCGATCTTTTGTATCCTTCACACCGCGGCCTCGGGCGAGAGGAAGTGGAGCTCCTTGCCGGCTCCTGACCGGAAGGCTGGCTTGCGCGTTTCGCATCTTGAATTGTCATTGGGTTTGGGCTTGGCGGCTTGGGGTGTCTTCAAGCATCCATGCGCAACTTCAGGCCTCAGCGCTTTCGTTCCGGGATCCGGGGTCCTTGTGAGTCTTTTGCCATGAGGCTACGTTCATCTAGTTCGCCAGCCATCCGAAACTCAACCCAGATTCCTGCGAGAACTCCGATAAAAGGGCCAAGAGCTTGCTCATCCTGGCCTTCGGCTTCTCTCGCGTTGTCGCGCTCTTGCGCTTGCTCCGCTGTGCCAGACCTCAGTCAAGTGCTTGAATAGAGGGGTGGGAGGAGCGGGTTTCGCTATAGCCATCAATCAAGAGTCGATAGACTTTGATCGGGTCTCGAACTAAACTTTTTTGATCTTTACAGCCGTTGAGGGGTCTTGGCAGGCTTTCGGAGCACAGGTCAAAGCACAGGCTGTTTTAGGTTCTTGGGTCTAGGTCGAGGCTTCAAATCGACCCCAGTCTGCAGTCAACTGCTTTAGACTTTCGAGCTTTGCAGAGTTCGGACTTAAGAGCCACGAGCTCTGAACCTTTCATTCGCAAACGCCAACTCTGACAGGAGCCACACCAAACTGCTGCTTTGAAGCCTAATTAATTACTCCTACTCTTCGAATATTGCCTTGAACTGACGACCTCATCCCAGTAGCTTTTGCGCCCCCTAAACCCTGCATTGAAGTGCTGTTAAAAGCAGGCGAGAAACCGATGGTGCTCGCTCTTTCACGCTTGCGGCCTGGTTGTGGTCTACACTAACTAGAACTACTAATAGCTGCGAGCACGCCTCAAACTCGTGATGCAAAAAAAGTGACACGAGTCAGGATTCTTCATGCAACGACAAAGGCAAGAACCGCAATTAAGCAGCTAGCAGTTTGTTGCAAAACATTGTGAGTGAATAATCGTCAAATAGGTAAGTCTCTTTGTCACTGGCACACTTGTGCTGCTGATGGTAAGTCTTAGGAAGATCAGGCAAACAGGGACATGCTCTGCACTAGATGGTTCTGCACATTCGATGCATGACAGATGCTAAGCAAATTCCAACATGAAGCTCTACGACATGGAGGCTGCAAAGGGAATGACAAAACAACTCCAGGCGTCTGAACACATCTTGGCCCACAATCTTCGCTTCTTGTTGTTGGGGCGCCTCACTTTGCAATGATTGTTGTCTTTGGGTCAACTAGTCAAGTCAGCTGAGCCGCAACAAAGAACGCCGCTCAGCTGATCATGTTGACTGTCCACATTCGGAAAGTACTTAATTATGAGACCGAAGCCCGAAAACCTTAAAACCCTCCAAAACATCCCAAGACCCTCAACCCAAGAATCCCAAAGCAACCCCAAGTCGTAGCAACTGCCTGCTCCAGGCGTGTGGCCACCCTGCATCACTTCCAGGCTCCAAGAGGGCTACCATTCGAAAAGCGTCAAAAGCAATATGTAAACGTTTGCGGCCTACGGGTCAGGGACTGGGGTTGGAGTGTTTTGGAGGTTGCATGCCGCGATTGCCTAGGACTTGCAGAAGCCGTACGATCTGGAATCTGGACGCTTGGTGCGATTTCAGTGGTGATTGACTGGTGTGAATCAATGTAAGGGCTGCTCATGAAAACCTTGACCAGATATCCAAACGTAGCTAAAGTTTTGCTTACGCTCCACGTTCTACAGCGAAAGAGTGACAAACAACTGCCCAAAGCCGATACCAAAACATCAAAGAACTATTGCGCAGCTGCCTCTGCTAGAAGCTGGTCCTGCATTCGCATCGTCTGCCTGGGTGGGCGTATCGGGGGACTTGTGAATCTCAGCTTGTATTTCAAGTACGATAGCGATGCCTAGCTAGATACTACAACGAATCAGTGCCCATCGTGACGTTGACATTGAGTGAGATAAAGAAGAACCAATCACTTTGAGCTCAGGTAGCGTGTTCCGTAGAATGTAGAATGGAGTGTTGGAACAGAGCTCAACCCTGTGTCAGTAGCGGAAGCCTCAAAAGCACCCCGGTCCTTAAAGGTGAATCCTGTGTCTTTCAGATTTCACCCACCAGGATATTCTTTGGATTCAAGGGGTTTAGCATGTGTGTGGCGCTTGAAACCTCAAGGCTTCAGAACTCAACCGAACCCCGTATCGCAAAACCCCACCAACGAACAGTCCAGGAAGGCGGGCGCTGCTCTCCGCCGCAGCAAAGCGGCCTGGGCCACGCTCAGCGGCGAGACCTCGGCAAAGGTCAACGTGCTGCGGTTCACATCTTTGAAAAGCGAACAAAGCTTGTGGCAATGTGCCCCCCCCCCCCCCCCCCCCTTTTTGTATAGCTCAGGGTTAGGGCCTGGAGTCGCGGAATGTTGGCCATCCAAAACATCCAGAGATCTTAAAGCAAGAACCCTGACGGTGCGACAGGGGCAATGCGCAGGATCTTATAGATCTGAACTCACATCTCTGTCTAGACTTGCAACCGAAGGATTGAGATGGTGTGGTGGGCTGATTCCAACTGGCAAAGGGCATGGTAAAGCTACATTTTGCCAACAAGTGAATGGGAGGAAACCTTGAAAAGGCGGCAGCTGTCGGTAGGGCGGCGGCGATCATCGTGTCCAGAACCATTTTGACACCTCCAGGCGATGCTGGAAGAAACAGCCCCAGGAGTCAGTTCGGCTGAGGATCTTCTGCTGAGGTCATGGGCTCCGATGCTGGGAGTCTGAAGATCCAGCTGCCCCATATGCCCTCACACAATCCTCATCAAATCTCGTCAATCGGCCCCCTGACTCCCCGGAACTTTAAACCCCAAACCCTGAAGTAAACCCAGCATCCGAAACTAGGCCCTATAGACACTAAACGCGCAAGAGCGCGTCGCAGTGACTCTTCAGATCTGAGTGCAGTGCCCGTGAGCGGGAAGGTAAAAAAGACCTTGCGTTTTAACAAGGCTTTTCGGGGATGTTAGCGGTTTCTCAAACCTAGACTTGAGCGCATAGGCCAGGATGGGCACGTGCAGAATTTGAACGTTGAGAGTTCAAAGGTTCTGGATGTGTCGGAGTCCTGTTGCTTCGAGATCCAATAAAGCTTGTGTTCTTGATACCCTTCGCATGTACGAGCGCTTCTCTCCAAATCCTGTTTTCCGGGGGCCCCGGCGTCTCCGCAGTCCCTGGCCCAGCGATGGAGCAAGGTACAGGATAATCTCGCCCTCAAGCAAGCTGTCAGCTGGCAACTACTCATAAGACCATCAGAAGAAGGGATGGAGGCTTTAGCGTTTCGGGAAAGGGTATGTCGCATCGGTACTAGATGACATGAAGAACTACAACATGGCACATAGGGTTGGATGGCCAAACCCCCGACTAGTGTACAGAGGCCGATGCGATGCGACTGGCTTGCTTTACATGCTTCGGACAGTGACTTTTAGGAACCGGGAACTCCAGCCAATGAGGACACTTATGGGGTCTTGATGGTCTCCCGGACACAGCAGCTCTTGCTGCCAGGCAACTTCTTGCCCGCTTTCCTTGGCTGAGTCTGACGGTTCTGCCTGTAAAACGTAACACCAACAAGCGATGAACATGGTATGACTCGGTATGACCACTAAGCCAAGGTGCTGCCGACAGCAAATGCGAAGGCAGGAGAGCATCAAAGTCCACCTTGTTTGAGGGGTCATTGTGATCTTCATGCTGAGGCACACATTAGAGTTCTACCCGGGTGTTGACGAGGAGGGGGATCGCTTCTGGCGTGGTGGGGGGCAGGGCATCTACGGCCTATTCTTGCCCATTGCCAAGCGATCGTTCGCAAGTGCGTTCTCTCGGCATCAGGTCTTGAACTGCTCATTTCATCTGCATCTTGGCGCCTTGTCAGCCACCCAGCCACAGAACTCCCCCCGGTGTCGGTGAAAGGCGCATGGGAGGGGGGGGGGAGCTTTCACTAAGCGCAAATGAAGCTGAGCGCAGTGCGTGCTCAGTGTCACCGCTAGACTGCCGATGATTGCTCTCCAGCTGGTCCTCGCGTATAGAGCAATGACTAAAGCAGCGGCCTCATCCGAGGACTGTGCGCTGTAGGTGTTGAGCAGAACCGTGGTGGGGGACACTGCAGCCGCACATCTGGGTCTGAACCGAAGGCTTCGAGAACATCAACGACCCTCTTGACCTTTTGAAAACTTGAAGAGTTCCGACCTCTTGCTGGTTGCACGTTGCTTTTGCAAAGCGTGGAGTGCTTCGCGCTGGCCTGCCCGGCGCGTTGGCTGGTATTCTTGCCAGGAGCCTCAGCGCCACAACGTTGAGCGGCAGCTTTGCATCTAGGGATCTCAGAATCCAGGACTTCTAGGACACCACGAGTTGAATCTGAGCTGCTGACTGCGTTATATAAACTAACAGCACACAAGCACCTACAAGCACAAAGCCGCCCCCTCAATCCCTATATCACAAGAGCTAAATCCCTCAATTTGTTCCCTACCAACAGGTGAGGCCCCTGGCGGTTCCAGAAGATTCAAGAGCTCCTGGTCTTTCGGAGGTTCGCATCTTCACAGCTGTTTTTTTTTTTGCCTGTTTGCAGGGTCATGGTTCGGGGGTCCCTGATGCGAAGCTCTCCTGGCTTCATGTTCAAGCTTCATGGTTGTCATGGTTCAGGGTTAAGTGGTGTGAGCATTGTGCCCGGTATCATGGCTAGGCAAGGCGTCCTTCGGGGCGCAGCTGCGGACACAGCAAGTATGCCATGCTCTCATTCATGAACTCTTTTTTGATTCAGTTATCGACACTGCTATTGGCGCGAACTTGTCTTACGAGCTCATTGTATCTCATTGTGTTATCCAAAAATAGTTCCAGCTAACGGTGAAGAGTTGTGTTTTGTCCTTTTTGTCTTTACCTACGCCGTATTTGATGAAGGACACACCGATTGAGAAAATCTCCTGATGTCAGTTCTGAGATTCAGGAATTCCCAACTGGCCATCTGATTAAGAACATGCTGTTTCTGCAGAAGCCAGCCAAGCCGGGCAGCCAGCCAGCCCCAAGGTATGCATTTCATCAGAAACGACCTCCATGTTTAAGAGCTGACATGGCTGGTAGTAAGCTTTCGATTTCAGCCCTGAAACGTGAGAGATGTTGGCACCTGCTCCAGTTTTCGCAAATTGTGTCTTTGCTTTATACTTATACTTATACTGAGCTATTTCAAATTTCTCAATCGTCGTCTGCTGCCCCGGCGGGTGAGTTTGAGAGTTGCTCCGCGGATGGGCCCCGGTGACCAGGACCACTCCAGAGCTCGAGACAAGCGGCGTGTTCCCCACAAGTTCTTCGCTCTTCTTCCAAATCCACCAAGCGCAAAGAAATCTTCTACTCGCTTTTGTCGGCCGCGCAGTCACGCTCCGCTAATCCCAAGTACGTGCATGCCGCTTTAAGGGGCTGGGAGCTTGAAGGTTGCAAACAGGAACGATGCCCCCTTACATGCATCTCTTTTAAGTTCTGGTGCTTCTGTCTGGTGCTTCTGGGCTTGAGGTTTTTTTGAGTTGGGGATTGGGAGTGGTGAGATTCAGAACGGAACAGCTGGCCAGGTCAAGCCAGCACTCACACCCGCCCTGACCTCAAACGAAAACAAATTGTCAGCCTTCAACCTTCAACTTCCTGGAACTGAGCCCAAGCCCGCCTCTTGGGTGAAGTCCCGTGTGCTCAAGCACTGAGCAACGTCTGAGTCTCGTTCCGAAGTGCCCAGTCCTGTCGGAGTTGCTCCAGAAAATCTGACACTTCAGCTTGAACCCCACAACTCTCAAAGGCCAGCCCCAAAGGGCAAATCTGTAACGTTCGGGAAAAGGTTTGGAGTCAGAGGGTTCAAGACTTTAGAGAATTGAGAGGTGGGTTGTTCCGACTTGGGCTGCGTGCGGACAAAGCGGTAACGATTGACAAGCGCGACACCTCCTGTTGAACACAAAGCCACAACTGCACCCCACAACTGGCCTCGAGTTTCCACGGCCCGAAACCCTAAACCCTTTTTGCAATTATATAAATAAACTCCACGATCCAAAACATTGCTTTATCACCCTGCCCTTTCTCCTGCGCAAATTTGGTCGTCATCTTTGCGGAACCTCCGCCAGGAGGAGATTTTGCCCCCCAAACGTTTTGAGCAACAGAGCTGACAGACTGATGCCCGTCTCCACACCACGGTTCTGCAAATTACAGTAACCACCAATCGGGCTTGTCACAGTTGTCCGGCCGGCCGATCCGAACCCCGAAAGATTTGAGTCGATGGCCAGACAGCGTCACGAGCTGTTGCCGTTGCCGCCTTCGCCAGGGGAGCTGGTGGAGCAAAGGCCGATGGCGCCAAGGAACAGGTGCTACAAACGGAAGAAGAACAACAATTTCGGGTGCTCAATAGGCTTAGGGATGCTTAGGGCCTAGGGTTCTGTGAAGTTTTAGGGTCGAGGCTCTAACCCAAGAGTGGTGAGAAAACAATACGGTACTCCACCAAAAGCCGACTCAGCGTGGATCAATGCTACCCCAAGTCCTGAAAGCTGCATGGCGCACTCCAAACACCTTCAGCCCTTATCCCCCTTAACTTCTCACTAAATCCTGGACCTAAATTGCAACACAATTCAATCGCCTAAAGCTGTCCAACCCTTAGAGCCCAGAAGAAACCAGGCAACGGACCGAAGCACTCCATGACTGGATGCTTGGCCACCTCGTTTGCGGTTTGGCTTGAGGTCTGGCAGTCTAGCAGGGTCGAGCAGTTAAGATTTGGGAGCGGGGCGTACTCAATCAACACACAAGCCCTTGCTCTTAACCCCAGCCCTAGTTAGCCTTACATTAAAGCCCCAACACTCGGCATTTCCCACAGTAGCAGGAATCCCCAAAACAGACACCAATTCATTGTGAACTGTTGCACGCACACTCTTCGACCGACAAGGTTGTCGTGACAACCTAGAATCACTAAGTGCCAAAACCACACCACGCGCCGCTTCCCAACGGAATCTGCAATGCACTGCAGCACTTGAGGATCTTAGGCTTCCAAAGAGGATTGACGGTGCATGCTTAAGTTCAATGGTCTTCTCCGTGTCTCATGAGGCTCGGCCCACCAGCTCTTCGTAGTTTATGTTTTGTTTGCGAAGGTTCTCGTACACTGGCATGTCCCACATGTCCGACTGCCATTGCAACCGAGGCTTGGACAGGCAACATGATGCTATGACGGCGAACCACGTCATGTTAGAGATGCAACTCTGCGTCGTGTTTGCAGACATGGCTTGCGTCTTGCGTGCGGTATGCGCTGCGGTGTTGGTAGGTTTGTCTGCTCTGGCTTGCTCAGAGATGACGTGGTCCTGCATGCGTACATGTCTGAAAGCAATGCCCCTGCCCCCTACTAGTTGAGGATCCAGGAGGCGCAAGGTGGTCGCCGAAAGGAAAGTGATGGAGAGGGAAAAGTGGCATGACTCACAGCCCCCTGGGTTCCGAAGGTTTCGCAACCCGGCTGCCATCTCCGTATTTCACTTCGATACGTGAAGGTCGTGCCAGGCTCTCCACATGTGGGAGATGCACATCGCAAGGCCTGCCACACTGTGGCTACACTGTGGCTGGCCGCTACAAATGAATTCGCCCTGACTCTGCTGGTCAGTGTGGTAGAGGAATCTGGGCACACGCGCTTGTTCAAGTCTCTGTGCCCCGGAAAAGCAACTCCCTGAAAAATGCACAGACGACACAAGGGCCTTCTGTGAAGCTTTGCAGGCTCCTCAAAGAATTAGCTTGAACGTTGCAAGACCAGACATTTTGTTCGCCTTTTCGCGAACGACTGTTCATCTGGGGGTGATTTTACGGCAGCATCCTAGCAAGTGCCACGCAAGGCCGGGACGTTGCAGCCCATGGCTCTCTGCATTGCTGGATCTGTCCAGAGTTTGCAGTAACCTTCACAGCGATCTTTTGAACGATCGGATGGGAACATAGTGGGGAACACAGTGTGTTCTGATGTCGGGGGAATCTCGGTTTTGCCCCTGGGGAAGTGCTGGTGAGGTCCTGCAGCAAAAAAACTAACTCCGGTAACCATAACGCTTTGGGTTTCTTTTGTCAAATGTCCAGCCTCGACTGTTCAGATGGATTGGGTCCTGACAAGACAAGATCTGTTCAACTGCCCAAGCCCTGCTGATAGACTCCAACAGACTGGTAGACTCAAGGCAAAAACCTCCAGCCGAAAGCTTCGCACTGCCTCGCAACCCGACTCCAAACAACCCTCCTCAGCAAACTTGGAGCGAAAAGTCTTCATGCCGCTTCATGCCCATCCTTGTAGAACTCCGGCTGGCTGTGGACTGCCGAGCTACCGCCAGCGACCATGGAAACGTTGACAAATGTCACGTTTCTAGCCTCCGAAGCCTTCTTCCTCGGGAGCGACGGCTCGCGTTTAGGGAAGGCTTCAACTGCTCGTGAGCTCCTGGAACAAGCTGCTGATCATTGGCCAGGACGCACACGTGAGGAGAATGGCTCAAAGACTACAAGATGAAATTTCAACTAGCTTGCTCAACCCAAGAACTTCATGGTTAACCGCTAGTCTCAAATCACCGAACACTCTCAACCCACCTTTCCACTGCCAACCGTGCCAAGCAGCACCACTTCGTTCAAAGGGTGAAGGGATTCAGGCGCATCGCAGCCACTGGTCCAGAAGAGCGGCCCACTCGGCGCAGCATAGCCCGTGACAACGATGCGCAGCTTCTCGGTTGGGGGTTCAGGGCTTACGGGGGTCTAGGGTTTGTTAGGTTTGGGTCTTCTTGAGGTTTGCACGGTGTTCGATGTTTGAGGCCAGCGTTATGGGTGTCACCCACCCTTGGCTGGTGATCCCAACAAACAGACTGTGGCACAAGGCATGTTGCCAAACAGCCGGGCATCTGGAGCAAGCCACTGAAGATTGCCGATGACCTTGCAGGACATTGCAGGACGAGGCGTGCGACTTCACCGCCAAGGACCCAAAGCGAGTCATGGATCCCTTCCCCATGTAAACCCTTCAAAAGGCCAGAGGCCTTGTAAAATTGTAGACCCGAAAGCCCCTACAGCAAACGCCACTAAACAAATCTGCCAGATATGCAACACATGGATCTATTCTTCTTCGGCAAGAAAGCCCCTACAGAGGCAAGCGCAGTCCCGAAGGCCTTCTCGATGTTCTCCTGCAGCTGGCTCAAAGCCTCATAGTCCGCAGAGTTACAATTGTTCAGGATGTAGTCGTTGCCTCCCAGGCTGACCCAAGCGACTCCAGGAGATCCTTGGAGGGACTTCGCGGCCTCAGGGACGCTGCAGCCTGCCTCAGCTGCACAGTCAAGATCCCTCAAGATCCCTATGGGTGGTCAAATTCTGTCACATTGAGTCCCAGCTGCTGGCTCTACACGCTGTATACTTTACTTTTACAGCGCACATGACACATGCTGCGCTGCCACAACGTCTGACAAAAATTGGCAAGGCGCGCCACGCTGACAGCACAAGGAGTGAGCAGCGGAGGCGCAATCCAAATTGGCGGCCCAATCCGCGGCGGTGGTTCCCGGAAGTCCGTGGTTCACCACGTGGTCGACTCCGGCCTGAGGTGCACTAGGCTGTAGTAGCGGCATATGACCCAATTCTGCCTTGAAACCGCGCAACATTGCGCAACAGCGTTCAAATCTCGCGGTCAGGGGGCACAGTGGTCCTTCAGGCTCGTGCCAGCATAGGCTGCCCAGCTGTCTCCCAAGAGCAGGGCCTCCTCAAACTGTCCCTTCGCCGCAAAAGCGCTCCTCTGTGCTTCGGTGGTGGTGTTGTTGGGGCTTACGGAGTAGGATTCAGGAGAAGCCTGAATCTAAAGACGATGAAACGAAAAAGTAATTTGAATCCATGGTAGCCCCGAGCGGTGCGGGGCTTGGGATGGCTTGGGATGGCTTGGGATGCTGAAGACTCGCACAAAGCCTTTGGCATGAAGGTGTCGAGTATGACTTGTCATCCCTGCGAAGGCTCCTGCTCAGCCTGCTCCTCAGGACTATGACCAAAACCCTCCCCTCAACTCTCTGCACCCCTAACCTGCACTCCCTACATCCTACCGCTTTTGCAGCCAAGGTTCTGCGACGCCCAGGACAGCCACGCAAAGATTAGCCGACTCCGCATTCCGGGCATGGCGAGGTTGGGTTCTGCAGATGCGCCAAGGATTCCTTAAATGGGCTTGTGGTTTCCGCGTGTAGGGCTAAAAATATTTGGGGGGTGGGGCAAGCATGACATATGTGGGCCTACGAGCCCCTGTGCGGCAGCTGCTTGGGGCAATGGTCACGGCCAGAAGAAGCCCATGTGCGGAATGCTTTGTTGTAGAAGGACATCACAAAAGGAGCTTTGCAGCTTGTCGCCAAGCACTTGTTTTTGTTCGTCGCCGCTCTGCCTCCGTCTTTGGTCGGCTGACCGGCTCAGTGGCTCAGTGGCTCAGCCCGCGTGCGCGTTTCGCCTGGCGGAAGAACCTCCAGGCCGTCGTGCTTCAGATGATTTCAGATTGCTTCAGGGCGTTGGGGCTGCGTTTGGGAGGGACCGTGTAGAAGCTTTCAGTCGACCAGGTCCCCTGCCACCCATTCTGCGTCTGGGAGAGTCCGCCATAATGCTTGGCGCACCAGTCCGTCCGCACAAAGTCTGCCCTGGTCCAGAAAACAGTAACTAGCAGGGCTTCGTGCCGCAACAGAAGCCCGTGTAGTTTCTTTGGAGAAAAAACAGCACTCAGCGTCATGATGCTTCATCCCTTGCCCCTTGCCTAGACTCTCTCTACCGTGTAGCTAGACAGCACGTGTGGTGCGTGCACGTGCCGCAGAGGTCTGAACGCCTCGATCTTCCATCCACGACTTGCTTGGCACATGCTGACCTCCGCTGGCCTGTGCGCCAACTCGAAATCGTTGGCGGCTTCCATTGGGCCTTTTCGGAGCTCCGCCTGGTTTCAGGGCAGGATTCAAGTGAAAGTCCGTGCTTCATCCTCGCGAACGGGCGGGGCAGAGTCTATCTCACCCACGGTCCCAAGCGGCCTACAGAAAACTGCACGCTGTTGGAAGCATAATATGGTCACAAGCGGCGACCTCAGGACACGAACAGCATAGCTGCGGACCTCATTGGGATCGTTGATGTTGACCCAGCCCGTCCAGCCGTAGATATTGGTGTCCTGCCAAAGGCTTTTGGCTAAGCTCACCGAGCCCAGAAGTTCTTGAGGCAAGTTGAAAGCACATTTTGCTGACTCCTCTGACACCACTCCAGCCCTGAACTCCCAAGCCCAAAGTTGAAAACCTCAATTTTTGTAGGAGTTGAAGAAACATGTACATCGTTTCACCAGGAGCGAACCTCACATGTTCCAGCTTCCCACATTTCCTCACCCTCCAGTGCTTCCTGCCTCGACGATCAGGTACTGCCCTGAAGGAGCGTCGCCCAGAGGAGCACCCCAGCTTTAGCTTTCACACACTGGTTTGGGGACTTGTGGAGTTTCTGGGGATCAAGGGAGCATGGAACAACCTAAGACCTGGCAGCGGCAGCTGAGGCAACGCTGGAGGTCCCCGAATTTGTATTGCAGGGTATTGCAGGTTGAGAGGCTCGTTGAGAGGGAGCCTCTCGCTGCAAGAGGCTGAGTAATGCATGGACTCCATGAGTTCGGTTTGGGGGGCAGGGAGGGTGGGGGTCATGGGGAGTTTCTCTGGGGCGGGATCTCTGCCAACAAGGTACAAGCCCCAAGAGCTCATCCCTGCATCGGCCCTGAATCTGCTGAGCATAAGAATGTGATGATAGAAAACTTCTACGCAGCCGGATCTGCACAATATGTGCGGGAATTTAGATTCATCGGCCATGATTTGGAGGACAGCCCCCGGATTCTGGATTGTCTGATTCGCTGTAGCCAATGGGCAAACGACAGTCCACCCCAAGGCCCTACAAAGTCCACGAGATTCCACAAGCTCTCCTGAAAATCTCTTTCGGACTGGGGCTTGGGCCGACGCCCACGTGCTTCGCGTACCACTCCTTTTTCCAAGGATTTGAGGAGGGCGAAAGCAATAGATGGAGAGGTAAAGAAGTTTGTCGGGCACAGATCCTTCCCCAACCAGCTCTGATGAGCCAACAACTGTCGGGGCAGATGGCTACGGCTGACCGAGCGCTTGAGCGAGGCACCATTTCGTAGTACGTATGCTCGTAGTCGTGATCGGAGTCCTGCATCGTACGTTCCAGCTGCCCCCATGAAGGTGAGCCAACAGCAGGAGGATGAGACGAGCTTCCAGAAAAGGAAAGCTTGTCTGAAACTCGTGGATTGTCGTAGATGAGAGAAAGACTGATTTCAACGTGATCATGCATTCATGGCACAGAAGATAGCGCTCAGTGACGGACTGACACCACCATGCAGGGAGCTTGCTTGCAAAGTCGCTTGACCTGTACAGGCATTGCACTTGTGGTGTTTTCGTCCGTCTCATGGCGGCTCATAGAGGCAACAACACGCCTGTGGGAAGTGAAATTCCTCGATGGCTACTTCCAGACTGGGAGTACAAGGAGCACATCTTTTCAGTAGGACCCAGGGGCCAGCTTGCCGGCAAAACGAGACTCAGACCCTGAACCTGCAATCGCGGAGGGCAACTGTAGGCCTGCAGGCAAACCCGAAGCCCAAACACCTAAACACCTGTATCCGCTTGCAGCCGTGTAGTCTATAAGTCAAGAAACACGGCGATCAAGGCGCATCTTTGGGAACATCGTCGCTCCTTAAACCGCCCAGGAATTTGGGGGGCCCTTAGGGCCCAGAAGTCGAAGCCAAGCCTCGTTCTTGCCTACAGACCCCGGGAGGGCCTTTGCCCTCACCTCCTTGTTCTTGGAGCCACCCGTAACATAGTTCCTGTCATTCACAGCTTACGAGCTTAGAAGAGGGTTTGCAAGGCTACAGCGGCTGCAGGTTCACGGTCCAGAGTTGAAGGCCGCTGAACGGGTGATACACCATACACACAACTCAATCCCAACATCTCTCCATGAGCAGGGTTGACAAAGACTCGGTGGTGCAATCGCATCAAGTATATAGGAAGACCGCCAAAGCAAGGTTGCATTTAAATCAGAGCACCGGGAATGAGCAAAATAAATCCTACAATAATGACGCTGATGCAGCGAGACTGAATGAACGTATGATCAAAAAGTTCCTGGTTTGGGCTTGAGGTTAGGACAGGCTAGGGCATTATTGCATATCGCAGACATTAGGCTTTGTGTTTTAGCGTTTGTGGACCTCTGAGTGTCAGGATTACCGGGCTATAGAGGTTTAAAGCCCAAAGATGGCAAAAGCTTCTTGAGATTGTTTGAGGGATTTGGGTTTTGAACCTGGGGGGAGGGAATAGGCGTGCAGAGTGAATGTAGTTGAGTGTTTGCCCTGGTTCTCAGATTTAGGTTGTTGGGTTGTAAGGCTAAGTGCTTTTGAGCAGCAGGTTGCTTTGTAGATGAGGCGAAATATTTGGGCAGTGCCGTTGACTTGGGTTGCATCAGATTACCAGGAAAGGTTCAGTACTTTAGGCTGGCTGAGAAATCGCCTAAACGTGCGCATGGGGGGTCTATAGGTTAGGCGTGCCCTACACAATCTCTGCACTCTGCAGCGTATCGCTCCACACCAATGATTTCATTGAGAACATACTGAAGTGTCGTGTGTCATTTCTTGGGATTCTTGGGTGCCCACCACCGTTGTTCCCTAACTTAATGTTGCTGATCGCCAAACAGGAGCGTTTAAGTCTGAGTTTGAGTTGTATGCGGAGGCACTGTGCAGGACGTGAATACAAGGCCAAGAGACACACTTTCTCATGAGACCACAGAGACATACAGGGACCGAAGGAGTGGCTCAAAGCCCCCACCGCCCCCCCACCCTGGCTTGCACCAAGCCTCAAAAGGAAGAATGTCGAATGGCAACGATGGGTTGGTTATTGGGGCGGCTTGTTGTTAGGGATTTACGGCTGCGGTTCGGGGATGTTGAGGGCTTACACAGGGCTTGCACACGTGGCGGGTTCTTAAAGCACTTGGTGACCTCTGAGCTATAAGCGTATTGAGAATCCGAAGGCCCCCTCCCCGAACTTCAAGCCCTCACTCATTCAACCAACGGCAATAAACCCCAAGCCTCACATTCCAGCCCTAAACATCTCAGAGTCGGACCAGTCCACGAAAGCCTGGAGCTTCAAACGCTCCACGGCGGCCTCCGCACGTCGCTTCGTGAGCCTGGGCCCCAGACATGGAGTAACTTGCACTGAATAAAACCATCCTGCTGAGTCTTTTTCAGCAAGTGAGCGACGGACAGCAATCTGCAAATTTTCCCGCTCTTACCAAGTCTTAATGGCTACCGAACATGGGCGTCGATTCCCAACTTCATTGTATTATTTTGTATTAGAAAACTGCAGAACACAAGGCTTGTCCTGAACCCCAGGCCCCAATGCCCAGAAACCCTGTCTAAACCCCCCCCCCCCCCCCCTGATAAACTCCACGAGCGCCAGACCAATAGGCCTGCTCCAGCGCCAAGTCAACGGATATGACCTCGCAAGAATCAAGGGCTTCAGGGTTGGGAGGGGGGGGGGGGGTTGGACCTCAAAAAACGAACCCCAACCCAGCAATCAGGGTGGTTTGGGGTTACAGTAGTGAAGGCCCCAGTCTCTTCAGAGAGTCAAGCCATAGGGGAGGAAAAGCACGTCCTGAAGTTTTAGAGGCGGTGCGCGAAAGGATAACGAGCAGCAGCCAGAATGTCCAGTCGGCCAAGAGTGGATTTAGGGTTTGTGGCGAAGCAAACAACCTTTTCTGATCGACCATGCGGGTTGTGCTGAATGACCTTGACAGCACGCATGGAAAGTTGAAGCTCGGATCGGGAAATGTGTGATGCAGTGGAAGGTCGCGTGCAGGAGAAGACGAGAGGTTTGGTCATTTTATCAGACCTTTGCAAACTCACCCACACATTGCGTTTCTGGATCTGTTCTCTCTGCAGGGCAGCGCGATTGGTAGTCGTTGATAGTATCCCTAAGCCCTGCACCTGTGGGTCGTGCAAGGTCTGCGATTCGGATAAATTCCCCCCTACATGGCCATACATTCTTCAACTCGATAGCCCTAATTGAGGGATGCAGGTCTGCTTAGAAGGTTCGAACAGCCCCACAATCCGCCACCCAGCCTTCCCTGGAATCTCGAAGAGCTTCAGCATGGATGCGAACCACACAGCGCTACCTTGCCAAGAGACGCAAGTGAATCAGGTTTGGCTCGTTTGAAGTCACCACTTGCTGCAGCTTCATGCTGAACTTTCACTTATTATTTGTCCGGGCGGAGCAAGGTGCATTAGCATCGCACGCAATCCATCACCGATCGATGAAACATCGCATAGCACATGGTGATGGTGGAATGTCGCATTGCGCCACGCCAGAACGCAATTCGTGTCAGTTCTGAAGGAAGGCCTGAGGATCAGCTGGGCCACATAAGAATGGCATTGGCATGCGGTATCACACACAATAAACAAACGCAACAGAACTCCTTCAGCACGTTGCTTTACAAGCCATGAAAGAAGAATACCAAAGCTGCATTTTAACAAACAAGCTTCAAGCCCCCATGCAACCCGCAAAAGAAAAGCATTCATGCAGCATTGGCAACGGATCGCAGTGTAGCACGTAGCATGCCCGTGCACATAAAATGGTGTCATACAGTGTGCAATTCGATACTTAAATACGTGTACGTACGGCAAAACCTGAAGCAAACAGCAAGACAGGATATTACTTGGATCAAAAATCGGCCAGACCAGGCTTCAACATCATGTGAAGTTGTTGACACGGGGTCTCTCCAAACACCCGAAAACGCGCCCTGCCGTTCACCCAAAACGCACGGAGAAGCACGAAAAGTTCGGGGACGTCTCTCCGGGATGGCAGCCGAGGTGATTTCTCCCTTGTAGCAACAAGCGCAGCAAACAACGCTAGACCTGGCACGATTGCCAGCCTGCTACGAATCCACCTGCCTTATGGGGTTGACTTAGGGCGCCCTGGATATAAAACTCTACGCGCAAACACCCGGCGATGCAGGATGTGTCCACACCAAGGCAGAGAGCATGGTCGGCCGTGGGGCCAAGCTAGGGCGCCCGGTAACGTGCAGGACTGTTTGAACTTGGGCGCTCAGGCTAAGGCCCTAAGCGTTAAACAGCCCAACACCGCGTCAAGGGATTTATGGGAGTGGCTGAGAATATTGTGGAGTTACGTGGTTACCGGCCTGCACAACAACTTCCATTCGGACTCCATGCACCCAGCCCCGATGCAAGCGCTCGAGTCTTTGTCACGAAGCTGCAGAACATATCCAGCAAAATCAAGGCTTCCAGCATTGCCTTCAAAGTTCATTCAGCGTGTGACAGAAGACATCAATGGCTGCAGCACATTATCGATGAAGGCTGCTTTGTGTGGCCATCCGTTGAACTACAGGCTAAACTGAACCGGGTCTTTTTGGCTAACCAGATCAGTCATGAGGATCTGAATGTCCGTCTCCTGCGAAGCCTCAGTGAATACTGATAATACTGGTTGTCCCAGAAAATCGATCCACTTAAAGTTTTCGCCGAGCAAAACTACGTTTGCGAGGCGTGGGCCTCCATGGACGAAGCCTTTCAAGTGTAGTTGGCGCAAGGCTTCGGCTAAGTCTCGCCACCTCGCCCGGGCCATGTCCAATGGTACCGGGGTACCAACACCACCGAGGATGTGAAACCATCCCAGAACCTTGCCCCTTTCTACGACCTCGGTGCAATTTGATGAAGGAGCCACTACTGGGCAGTTCTGTTTGCAGGCCCTCTTCATGACTTCGACCTCTGCTCCGGGCTGAATCCGTTTGGCACGCCGTGTGCAAGAACGGCCTTGATGGCAATCCTTTCAATTTGCTCATTTCGCTCGCGATGCGCTTCCAAGACACGTCCGAATGCTCCGCTGCCCAGGAAAGCAACGGGAACAGCACCATGCAGCCTGTCGCAGAGATTCGCGCAACCACCGTTCCCATGGAGAGTACTGAGAAAGAAATCGCGTAGGAGCTTTTTCCCTCCAGGGGCGGACCAAGCCCCGCAAATCCTTTCTAAGAGTGCTTTGCGGGTCTCACGTCGCCCAGCTACGTGGTACAGCTCAAAGCCGTTTTTGTCGAATATCATGCCCCTTGCATGCTCGGAAGGAAGGCGACATAGATAGTAATACAGCTGACCGCTGACCGGGGCCCCCATTCTGGATCGCCAACTTCGCTTCACAGACGGACACACAATCGAGCATCTCCTTGTACGGCGTGCCACTCGATGCATTGCCATTGCACACCATGCCTCGAAACAGATCAGGTAGCAAACCGTTTCCAAGCCAAACGCGATTTTGCGAGTGTACGACCTGGTCTTCTGGGAACAACGATCTCAAGATGGGCAAAATGAAAAGCCACCAGGTCCTGCACCGTGCTCTGCCCCGGTAAGACTGCTTAGTTGTTTGGCATCAAGGACAGGCTCGCCAGTGCCTCCGCGTAGCTCTTGATCTTTGGTGTCTGGTCCATATTCGTCGTTCCACAGATCGGTCCTCGAGACCTCCAGCCCAGTAGCCATTGCTTCCTTTATCGCTGTTTTCACCACGAATGCCATGTCCCTCAAAGTGCTTTCAACCTGAAGGCAACGACACAACTAACTGACGTCAGATACGTTTGCTGGCCCCTCAAGCGCAAGCAACGACACGCTTTACACAAGCTCCACTCTGCAACCTCACGAAAGCCTCATGAGGCCGGGTCGTCCGTGCACAGCAACGAACCGAGGGTTGAGACCCCTCCACGGCAGTGTGGAGACGGCTTAAATGGCTTAGCGACGATGGGATCCTTCGGCGAAGAGGAGAGCATGACCCCCAAAAAGCCAAAACGGTGGACCGCACGAAACGCACGACGGCCAAGAGCCCCAGCGGGAGCGGTGCAAACCACAGGCAACGGCAACAACGGCCCACGCAGAAGCCCCGGCCTGCACTCGTCTTCCCGGAACCTTTGCTTCGACCTCCTTGTACTACTGCTTGGCCTTGTCTACCTTTGCTTGCGCCTCTCGGAGTTTCGTCTGGAGCGATCTGGCCCTTTCGCTGCTTCCGGCTTTGGATGCGAAATCCGAACACACACGAAAGGACAACCACTCTCGCCTTGTTTTCGTTGTCATGACACACTCGGGCAGGAGCGAAGGAAACGCCATCAGAACAGCACAAGGAACGCCACGTCGAAACGACAAACCCTGTTCGCCTTGTCGTCTTCATTGTCTTCGGCCTCACCGCGGTCCAAAGTCCTATCAGCCTCAGCTCTGCAGGACATATGCTTAACCCAGAATTTCCTCTCGGTCTCGGCTTCCCGCTTTGATTGCAGCCCAGCGTGCAACGAGCAAGTTGCGTGCCCAAAAAACGGAGGAACCGACCTCGCTCTGGCTTGCGGATCTTCGGCACTCCATGCCATATATAATCATATAGAACATCCCACCTTGGAAAGGGCCACCGCTCTAAGCCAAGCCCGCTCCGTCTGTGTTGCTCGCCTGAAGCTGCTCGGGAACACCTCGAACACTGTTCAAAGCGCCGGTCTGATCGCGCGTGCTGGTGCTACTGGCGCTGTTCTTGGTGTGTCTTCCAGAGCCTTAGAGCCTCATGAGGCTCTGGCAGACACACCAAGAACAGTGCCAATAGCACCAGCACGCGCCCAACCTTGCAGGATGTTGCTGGAGGCCTGCTCATCGTCCTAGCTGTCCTCTTGCTCGAGCATAAAAACATTGCACTCTGCATGAACGAACTCCACACTGAAACCTGTTTCACATATAATGCAACCATGATGCTGTCCATGACCCGTGCCCGTGACCCCAGCGACTCACGTGACTCGGTGACCCCGTGACCCCGAAATCCTAAACCCAGAAGCTTAAACCCTAAACCCCAAACCCAAAAGCGTTCGTGCCTCGAAGCCGGTTCGCCCCAGGCTCGCGCACGAAAACAAACACAGCTCCATGCCCCCCCCCCCCCCCCCCCCCCTCCTGGACATAAATTTGTGAATTGGTGAATGCCCCTCCCAAGCGTGAAAACGTGAATTTTGTGAATCCTGGCCCCAACTCCACGACGCAAGTCATCCTGCCAGGCTTTCGGATGCCTCCTTGGGAGCTCCCAAGGTCGACGATGTACGTTGGCCGCAGGTCATGGATAACCTTCTCAAAGGTCGCTGATGCGCGATTTGTCTTCTGTGTGATTCTGCAGCGCTGCGCATTTCGGTACAGTATTTGTTGCCTGGTTCTGAAGACCTCCCTGAGTCCGACAACCTGAGCTTGAAGAGCAGCTAGAACCCCGAGCCCTTCCTGCTGGTAGCACCACATGTCCGTGGGCATCTTCTGGATGAAGACGCCAGCAAAGAGGGAGTGTGCCCCCTGATGCGAGTTTTCGGTTTTGGAATTCTGGAATTTAGGGGCCAATAATTAGAGAGTGGAACTACACAAGAGGCTTGCTTTTGGAGGTTTCGTGGTCGCTGTCGAGAACTGTGGCTAGCTGCGGACTGTCGGGCATGACAATGACTGAAAGCCCGCTGCTGCAAGAATAGCGAATGCACCACAGATACTCGTCTGAATACTGTCAAACTATCACAACACTGAGGCGTAGGTTCGGGCTCTGGACTCGGTGAGCATTTCAAGAGCATCTGCCACGCAAATCCAGTGCTTTCAGCCCTGAACGAAAGCGGACGGGTTGGGAACTGTTTCAACAATCCAGCAACCCAGGCTCATTCGGGAGCTCTGTTTGTCAAGCTTCTTGTTTCGGTTCAGCCCTTGCGGAGATTATTGCAGGCTGCGGTCCAGGACACCCTTCAATCCTTCAAGCACTCCCTGCATCCAGTGAATGCGCTCTTAAGCAGCTGCCAGATCCCAAGATGAGAGGAATGGGCCCAAGGGGCCAACGACTAGATCCGAAACCGGGTGCTTTCCCTGACCCTGCGGGCTCCTTTTTTCACATAAGGCTCCAGAGCTTAAATCAATGAAATCTTGGTGACCGGGGGCTCGCGTGCCCCAACTCACAGAAGTGAATGATATTTCGGGTGTTTAGGGTTCAGTGGCATGTTCGCGCGGGTTCAAGGTGCTGGGCACTTCTCGAGAAAGCCCCCTCTAGTCCAGCACGAGGCGTCTCAGCTCACGTACCTGCAGAAATGGCCCAGCCGGGACAATAATTCTCAACCCGCAGACATCCTACTGTCGTCTTCAGGTCGGTAGCGACGAAAGCCATGAACCCTAATAGATGCTACCCAAGCAGTCTAACATGAAAAGCGAAGAGCGCCGCCACTGCTGCTTGAAAGTCTACCGCCTAGTCCGAATCATGCGGAAGCCTGAGACACCAACCACCCGGACACTTTAGGCATCGATGTGGGTTTAGGTGGCTTGGGGTTTTGTGATGTTTTAGGGCTTCACGGCCCAGGCGGAACCGAAACCCCCTTCCGCTCCCAAAAGCCCCCAAACTCTCAACCTCAAGCCGCTCGACCCCCGCACTGCCCAGTGTCGCGTCCATAGCCCTTAGGCCCAGTCAGGGACTCATGGAATCCGAACCGCAGTTGAGGAGTTTATTTGAGGGTGTTGGCCAGGTGTTGCGAGTGTAGAGTCGGATAATGGCCGAGGTGCTGGATGGCCGCGCGGGAGCCGGGCAGAAGCAGCGGCTTTATGTGCTGCTCCAACATTGCCAAATGATCCGGGTGCTTCTCGTACACCTCTGTAAGATGCTGGCTTTCGGGTTCAAAGGTCTACGGCTGACGTAGTCGAAAACAAAATGGCCTTATGCAAATGCACTGAGACTCGGAAAGATGCTCAGCGGACCTCTGCTAGTTGGGGCTTCTAGTGGAAAGCTGCAGCTTACAAAACCGAACGACACAAAGAACATGTTGGACGTCAGTGTGTCGATACCGCAGATGCACCTGGCCTGGTATCCTTCAATGGAGGTGAAGTCCTAAGTTGTCAAACTTACGTTGCTTTCAAGAGAGGACGACCTGGCACACTTGCTCGCAGAACGTGCTGCAAACATGTGTTGAAAGCATGTGTGAGCAATTGTGAGCATGGCCTCCACAAACAGGCAAGCGTCAACCATCGCCACCATGCTTCGATTGCTGCGATCTCCCCGATCCGCCTTTGCCTGCCTGAGCTGCAATGACATGCGCATTGTGACAGCTCGAAGCATGAAGACTTTCAAAAGTGCATGACTCCGTACAGTAACGTTCCATTGCTTGGTGTGTGGATCTGCGTGCCGCATTCACAATGTGAGGCCGTCCAATCTGTTCGCACGTACAGCGCACGCAGGTACGTCTGAGGCCAAAGGCCAACATCAAAGCGCTACCCAGGGACTTGTCAGGCAACTCGTCGGCCAGAGCTACTGACATGGTCGACACCGCCTTGATCTTCCTCAGACATGAACTCAAGGCAGGGCGATTTGCGTCTCAAACTCCTACCCTCCCAGCCTGAACATGAGACGCCTCCTCTTAGTAACAGCCCCTTGCATCCGAACTGGGGGCGAGACTGCCCCAGGCCCATCCTTGGCTGCGAAGGGATGGGGTGTGCGTGCGATTAAGTTGCCCGTTCGAATCTGCACATATCAATGTAATTGCGGTGCTTCAGTAGATCTCCACTGCGTGCAGAAAATTAGGCAGAGAACCCTCAAAGCATCAACTCTTTCAGAGGCTCTGAGCCCTAAACCACTCACCCCAACGAGCGAGCCCAGTGGCATGGTCCTCTGGAGGCTCAAGATCTGCTCCATCGTCACACTGTCATTGAAGTTGAACATGACGATGTGGTGGGCTCCTAAGCTCTCCAGAAGATTCCTAATTCTAGGATAAGAACTTCTTAGGACGTGGCCCGCAGGCACCACCAAGCACGATGGCCCACGCTTTCATATTCTCTGCATCTCGGGGGGGGGCGAAAGAAGCTAACAGCGGCTAATCGTCCCAGCAAGTCTGTCCAGGCGTCAGGATAACCGTTCCTACGAACGCATCAAGGACCTCAGAGAGCATCCCAACCATCCCGAACGCAGAGCCAAGCAACCGGGAAGAATGGCTGCTGGCTGGACGTACCTGTCAAAGGGATTCGGGCTTCAATTTTGAGTGCTGGTTGTCGTTTTGGTGAGATGTGAACTCTGCAATGGTTACTAAAACACGAAGACTACAAAGCTTGGGCACCCCGATGCCGGATGCCCCCAAACAGTCAATCACCATTGAAGTACTGCAGTCTTTTGAGGTAGGCCCTTAGGACGTGCATTCACAATCCGATGATGTAGGGTTTCCAACCCAACTACAGCTAGCCTCCAAATCGGTAACCCTGGTCACTGGATGGCGGCGAAGCTGTAAGGGTTGATGGCCGCCTCAAACTTGGAAATCAGGTCCAAGTGCGCTGGGTGGCCCTCAAAGACCTTGACAGAGCTGCGTGTTTTAGGCACATCCGGCTGGAAAAGCATAAACCGTTCGCTAGGTGGAAGAATAGTTGACTTGTTTTAAAGCATAAATTTGGTTGTTCTGAAACGCATGACTTGAGTGTCGTAAACAATATGCTGCTGTTGCACTAGGTACAACCAAGATATTACATGCAAAGCTGTTTGTATATACACATACAGATCGACATAGATGGTGTATAGCATAAAGTGTTCAAGAAGATACGAGTGCAACGAATTACACAAGTGGGTGTGGGGCGACTATGCTGATATTCACTTCACTACAGTAGATCCAAAGAAGTCCGTCCCCATTCATGTCACCTTCACATCGACTAGGAAAGGATTCGCGACATGCACTCGAATGGGAGGAACCACAGGTGGAACAAACGATCAACGGCCTTTGGTCCATTTGCAACTCTTTTCAGCATTGAGGTTTTAAGGCCCTGGATGTGCCCTCAGACCCTAAACCATCCTAAACCCATTTCACCTTCAAAGAAAGCAAACAAAAGAATCATCAAGAATCCGTATACAAGCCATGATTATAGCGCTCTTACATCTTCACTTTAAACCGAGGAGTGAAGAGACCTCAAAGTCGGCTCTCGTCGAGAAGTCGGCCAGCCAAACCTTCAATGCAGCTTTCCGTGCAACTCTCGGTGCTTCGGACTCACTGGTTCAAGACATCGTTGCACATTGCGGGCTTTGGGGGGGGGTCTCAGGGGCTTGGCTTCGTCATGCAAAGAACTCAGCTGTTTCGGCTGAAACAAAGGAAGACGGATAAGGAGCAACAAAGCATAGCAAAGCTATGTGCGGGGATGTTTGGGCTTGGAAGAGCCGTTTACGACGAGCTGCCTCCATGCCCACGAGGGCAGTTTTGCGACTTGACCCTTGCTGCTGTCTGCGAAAACATGGCCCACTGCCATGACCATTGCAACTTCACTTCGCATGTCTCAAACTGGTTACGTTCTTGGACCCAAGAACACGTGCTAGCTTTGTCCCACCGGAAACGTTTGCGAGTTTCGCTCCTCGATGATCCTGAAGGAGCATTGGCTTTGCCAGTGCCAAGTCTGGCAGCTCCTCCAATCTACCGAAGCCCGAACTCCTAAGTTCCTAAGTTGGGCCAAGGGGCCATGCTTCGATTCTTCCCCGCTGGATGGTTCTGGCCACCGGGGAGGCGGAGGTCCGATGCAACGGTGCTCTGCAAGATCTCGGGAATGCTCCTCTGAGTCTGGGTTAAGTTAAAGGCCCTCCAGGGCTTCCAGGGCTCGAGTGGGGAGTTAAGGACTTAAACTTGTGCCAGCAACATGGCAGGGGACTGATGGGACCAAGAACCAGCAAAGTGACACAAAAGCAACTTTTACATGACTTACCGCCGATTCAACAGGAGTCCTCTTGTTGCCCCCTGATTCAGAATGATTCAGCATATGCACAGACACCGTTTCGTCTAACTAAACTATAGAAAGTAATCAGGGTTGGCATGTGCTAGTACCCCCCAGATCTGCGCGCACCAATGTTTCAACAGTAGCATTTCACTTCTACACGACCAAAAATAAAACCTACCTCGTATTCTCTCTGTGCTTGAAGGCGAGCAGTGCCGAGTCTAGAGACTGAGATGCCCAGGAATTCCAGCAGAGCCACTGCGGCAGCGTGTTGATAGCTTTCAGCAGCGCGATCTCTTCGGCAGCTGACACGTGGTCTTTGAAGCTAAACCTTGGGGAGCCGCTCCACTCCACCAGATTCCAGAATCTCAGAAACCCTAAATTTGGAAATTATGTATCTCCGCTTGCTGATCACCGACAAAGCTAGCTCCATGTTTCAGAGGCGTGGTGTTGCACTAAGCACTAGATTCTGGAGAGTCTCATGTTAAGTATCTTATTGCTGCAAAAAGTACATATGAAAGACTCAAGATCTGCGAATTCAAGAAGCATCACGACGTGTCGAATCCCTGGCACTGTCTCATCCAGCCGCAGCCTCTGCAGACAGCAGCCCATTCTGCTCAATGAGCTCAAGGCAGGCCGATTATACGACCAAGGGAAAACTTGAGCCTAAAGATATGGGCTGTCTCAGTTGAGAGATCTATGTAGTGTCCTGGGCCCAGGCGACATTCTTTTCTCCCAGGGTAGGGTGCCAACCTCGAGCATCTTCTTGAATGCCGAAGCTTATCGAAACCAGTCTCAATTTTAACTTTGACTGTTTTCTTTTACGCGCCATGGCTGCTTCAAATCAAGGAATTTTGGGGCCCAGGTTCGGGGCAGGGGTTGCATCGACCTAAGGCTGCAAAAGCTTATCCAGTTATGGACAACTTTGGCCATAGCTTCGCCGATCGCTGTGCCCGCCCTCATGCCCCAAAACAAACCCTACTCTGCAGTGGGCCTTGGAAAGGCGGAATGTGGGGTCGCCGCCAGAGAAGTGAGAAACATTGTAGTTGTAGTCCTGACATTTGTCGTCATTTGTCGTCTCACAACCGGCAGCAAGAAAGGGATGATAGCGCTCCTTGAACTCAATGACTTGCTCCACGGAAGGTAGGAATGACGCATTGCAACTGACAAAAATGCCAAAGTTGGCAATGGCAGCATTCAATGTGAGCTTTCAGGGAAATGAAGAAGGCTGCACATGTCTAGAGTAGAGAATGGCAGTGTGGGTTAGTATCACTAAGCCGTACATATCTGGCCCCTGGCAGGCTCGCCAAGCAACCCCTACAAAAGGTTGTGCACGGTAGAAGCAATCCTCACTGAGAAAGTCCCGGTAACTCGCCTGAATGTCGTGAACAAAGTATGCGATGATTTGTGCTGGGAAGGCTGTGAGAACTGTGATGCTAGCGCTACTACTGTCTCGTCCAGTTGCTTCGGTTTGCAAACATGTTGCGAGGGGCCAATCATGCACTTTCCGAGCCGCCTGCCCGCCAGTTGTCCACAGTCATGCCCGATACATGCGCATCCTGGCCATGATGCGAAGAAGTTCGAAGGAATGCCTGCGTAAGCCTTGAGAACCCAAATGAACGGTCTGGATCAGAACAAAACGCAAACTGCAAAGGTCAGACTATTCCAGAACCATCGGTACACGAAGCACTGGCCAAGGCAGTAGCTCTGGCAATGTGAAAACCATCCTTCGAGATCCAGTCGGAAAGTCAATGTGCCTCCGCGTGGATAGTTGGATCAGCCACCCCTAAGTTCCTACTAAGTTCCTACCCTCCTAGATGTAGGCCCCGAACCACCTCAACACCTCTCGCAAACTTGGGGGGGCAGCCGTAAACCGAGCCAGGTCCCGAAGCCGTGTGGGGGGACCTGGGCTCGAGCTGAAGGCTCGTGGATGTGGCTTTTTTCTCAGGTCGTTCTCGGGGGCGTAATTTCTGCGTGGGTAAGGTGTTCTGGATTTCCAGCGCTCGAAAGCCAAGAAAGCACTCAAGTACGTAATTCAGTGGAAATAAGTTGCAAGCTTTTTGGAATACTCGATGGATCATCAACATATGTTGACTGACACAGGAGGAATGGTTGGACAAAACCGAAATTGTCCAATTTTTCGAGGTTGCTTGCAAGCGCATGCAGCATTGCAGGTGCCAGAATGTTGGCGCGATTTAAGCATGTTTGCGCAAGGAGACTCAAGCATTGTTGACTCATCTACATTGATGGGGTGCAGTGGGATCAGTGGCATGTATCAGGAGGATCGGGACCATCAACATAAACATTGCCACCCCCGCCCTCATAAAACATGAAGTTTGGAGGTTGAGGGGTGCGGGTTCTTTTGGGGGGGACATCCTTAAAGCCCTGAATCCAAGCGCAAGGCAAGTCGGGAAGTTTGACCAGAAGCGGTATGCAAGAGGCACTGCTGGACATGCCAGGTGCTGGTACTCTGGCCTGAAATGCCACAAGGGTTAGGGCTTGGGGACTTTAAGACGTGGTGGCAGGGACAAATTTCCGTTGACATATAGAGTTAAAGGCTGAAAGGTGCGTGTTGTTAGGGGTCCGATTATGTGCTCTTCGTGACGGCTTCAGCCAAGAAAACGCGGCAGGCATTTATCTCGAGCATTTTCTCTCGATCTCTAAGCCTGCCATACGACAGTGACACTCGTATTGTCATTCTCGTAGTTTGATCGCCGGCTTAGGAGTGTACTCAGCTTTGTGCTGATCTGAGCGTCGCACGTTCTGTGAGCGTTGTAAAGCTGATCAAACTCATTGCCGCCAGCCCGCCTCCAAGCAACAATACACGGCGCCTGGATTGAGAGAGAAGTGGCAACATATTATATTGAACATCCTAGCCCGAAACCCGATCTAACCCCGTGTCTTGATGAAACCGGTGTAGATGCAAGGCTGAAAACATAGCGCCGCTTTGTGACCCAGGCCATTGTCTTTACGTAGTACAATTAGTATTTCCCTGAGGCACCCTACTTGGGATGTAGCGTCTCTGATTCGGATTGCTGCTCTCACACGACGGCGCCCTCTCGGTGGCCTCTTATGATAGCGCCAGTGCACGAACTCGTACTCCCAAAGCGACCAACCTGGCACTTCGTTCTCTGAGCCCGGCAACGTTGCACCCCATAATTACAGCTCGGAGCTGAGCCTTCCCCAACATGGTCTTTGGGGGGATAGCAGCGGATAGCAGTTCACAACACTACACATTTCAAATTAACGAAGGGCTTTCCTGCCAAAAAAAGCTTGCCATGACGCTCCCTTGCTGCCTGTCAGTGCTTCGGCAAGTTCCTGCTGGACCTCCATGAACTCCGCAAAAGCCGCGGGTGTCAGACCTCAGCCATGAGCAGCAAACGAGACTGCGTTCCTTCGCCGAATGGGCATGCGCAGCGACCGAGGATCAATGCAAATGGGTATTTCATGAGCCCTCATTCATATGCTAACAGCTTTAAATTTTTGAAGAAAATGCAAGCACAGTGTATTGACAACCTCTATGCTTATACCGTGTTCAGGCTATGGTGCTCGCTAAGCTTCGAGAAGGGATCACACACGCCAAGAACCCTTTCGAAAACACAATAAAGAAAGCAAAAGCGTAACTTGAGGAGGTCCTGGAACACAACCCCTAACCAAGTCCAAACGCAACAGCACGCTTGAAATGCTTGAACTCAGCGAACTCAGCGAAACATGGAATTGCAAAGCTGGCAACGAGACCCTCAAAGCGTTCCACTTGCCAGATATTGACCTCCATATTTCTTGATGCTTCGGCGCAGCTTCCAGGTCTCTGGCATCCAGTCTTTGAGGCTCAAAACTGCACGCGTGCTCTTTGTACATAATGTATTCGCGTGCAGCACGAAGCGAGCTGCGACTAAAGAGGCCACTGGACTGCTGCGCGATGCTTCGCAAAATCAACAATCCGAAAGCATGAGGCGCGCAAGAACTTGTCTTTGGCACGTTGTGGCTACCTCACAGCAACAAGTATTCTAGTATATTTCATTTGCATTGCATCAAAACCTTTATGTGGGCTGCAACCTGCACATCGCGAGCCCGCAGAATGCTTGCACGGAAGGTGCAAGGCAGATCAATGCAGCCCGAAGCCTGCGAAGACTGTGAGACTCTGTGAAGCTGTGTATCTTTCGTTCTTGTGTATTTTGCAGAGTCACTGCAGAGATTTGCCTGGTCTCGCTGGCTGGAGATGTGGAGAAGCCATCGAACTCGTCGCACGCTTGAAGAAGCCTTCCTGATCTATGCGGCGGTAGGGCTTCACGCGGACACCTTGCAGAACATCCAGGACTTGAACAGAGGCTAGTTTGAAGAGCCATTGCATCACCTTTCAGCTCCGGTGTATGGAAGACATTGGAGGACCCTTTACAAATATAATTCGACTTGAGTAGCGTGCTTCTGAGAAGCAAAGCCCAAAGCATCAGATCTAAGTAAGCCCGGCGACGCCACAGACAAAACAGGAAACATGATCATGAATCACGAAGCAAAGTCGCTGCATTGCCGACGGACTGATTTGAGGCCATCGCTGTCTCCAGTGTGGAGAACGGCACACGCAGCACCACGCAGTCGGGTGCGGCACAGGCACTGGCATGCCAGGTGGGCTCCATGCTGCTGCAGAAGGCGCCAAACTCAAGCGCCCCTAACAGCGATCCGTGGGTCAGCTTGCGAACTCGAATGTCTAGCTCTTCCTCGAATGCGAAGGTGTCTCCCTTCTGCTCGTTCAAGTGGTGCCGTGGGACCTTGTACGCCAGCGCTTCGTCCGCGCTGATTCTCTGAACAATGCTTACCGATCCGCTCAACACGTACGTCAGGTGTCTGGCATGCTGGCCTTCAGCGTAGATCTGCGATTGCTGAGTGTAAGTTTTCAGCACACTACCGAACTTCGTGAGTTTCTCACAAACCGCTGCTCGCTCCTCTGCCTTAGCCGTCGGAGCGATCTCCAGAAGGAACTCGTTGACAAAGTGCATAAGCTCCCCTTCATCCTGTTCTTTTGTGGGCTGGACCCTCTCGGCCAACTTAGCCGCTAGCAGCTGATGCTGTGAGCGGTTCCTCAGCATTCCGTTGTTCCCATTTGCCCGACCTGCAAGGAGCCTCTCCTCAGCCCACTCCAACATCTTCTCCACACGGTGAGAACTAATCTTTATCTCCACATTGCAGGCACGCATACATCGTTCCAAGGAAAGCTGCAAGCGACGCACGACTCCACTTATCGCAATTGTGACAGGCGGCCTCCGCCTTTGGCACACCTCCGCAAAGTTCACCAAGGCTTGAACCCCCGAGGCGTCCACTGCAGGGACCTGTTCGAAATCGAGGACCAAGTACCGTGCGGACGACGTGTCCAGGGACGCCTGCAGCTCTTCAACGATGTCCTGGGCTGTTCCGAAGAAGATGTATCCTGCGCACCAGAACACCGCCACTTGATGTCCATGGGTGTCAAGGATCTGGTTCTGCACGTCATCACGCTCAACGAGCGAGCGTACCTCCGCCAACGTGGCTTTTTGTGTCACGCCGGTCATGCCAGAGTACTCAACCATGAAGAAGATGGTGGTGAGAACGACACCGAAGAGAATGCCGAGGAGAACATTGAGGTAAGTGATGACAGAGGTCGCCACCACAACGCGCCACTCGGTGACGGCAATGCGCTCCCGCGATTCAATTAGCGATGTAGTCAGGAACTCGAAGCCCAGTGAAACCACCAACGCCCCAAAAGCACATTTTGGGATGAAGCTAAGGCATGAGCGCAATGTGGAGTCGAAGTAAAGCACCATATAGAAGACTGCAAAGAGGAACACCCACCACCTTGTCTTTCCTCCTGCATCCCGCATCACCACCCATACCTTAATGGCATGTGAGACGGGGACACCCGCAAAAGGCGCGAGGGCGACATTCGTCTTCCCGACAAGCCGGATTTCCTGACAATACCCCCACCCCTTATAGTTTTGCCAATGCCTACAGAGTTTGCTACAGAGTTTACTACAGAGTTCCTACAGAGGTCCCAGGGCCCCGGAAGATCCTTGGCGAGCTCGATTGTGGGATCCTTGGCAATGTCCTGAAAGCCCACGGTGTAGAAAGTGAAGGCCAAGGTACTCAACACGGCGTAGGACACCAAGACGGACATGCACGGTTGGCTGAAGAAAGCCTGGGGATTGAAGCTGCCAAAACCAGTACCCAGCGCCTCCCACTCCACGACCCAAGGCTCCGGCCGCAGGCCGGAGATAAATAGGCCCCAGTACTCCAACTCGTCCAGGCTAAGAGGGTGCATGTAGAGGAACGCGTACACAACTGAACTCATGACCGCGAGGCCAAGAGGAAGACGGATGGCCCTGCCCCAGGAATATGGGTCGAGAAGTTCCTGCAGCAAATGAGCTCACGACATGCTGCAGATTTGATGGACTGCAGATGACTGCACGCAAAGCATCACGCAGCCGTCCTTGAGAGCAAGAAAAACCCCTGCACCGACAAGAGTCAGCAAGAACCGTAGCAGCAGGGCCACCCCGGTGCGTGTAACCTTCGGCGTGGGAAAGCCCTTACTCTCAAGGACGATCTCCTATATGGTTTAAGTGCTCCTGGCAAGGGAGCCGGTTCAGGGAAACGTACTTCTTGAGTCCTGTCACTCGGTTCCATGGATTGCTCGTAACGTGCTGCATACTCATGCTGCCTTAGCCTGAAACCCTACGAGTAGCAGAGTATCTGTCACGCTCGCGGGACATGCTTTCTAAAGCTGAAGCCTAGAACAAAATTCAGCATTTGATTTGAGTGTGTGTGGCTCGCAAGTCCCGCACGAACCCGCGGCATTCTTCGAATCCTCCTGTGAAGCCGATAGAAAAAGGCCCTGTGAAGAAAACGGTGCCTCAGAAGATTGGGCAGCAGCAAGAAGGTCTCCAAGTAGCTGGAGGAGGCCCTGGCCGCCTGTCGAATCTCAAAAGCTTCTTGCATTCTTTAGAAGTTGATCAACATTGCCAAGTATTGCAGTAGTTCTCAGCATACATACCGTTGCGTGCCCGTCTTCGTTCGGAAATCTTGTTATATCTTGTTCCTTGAGAAATGTACTGCAACCTTATAAACACCTTTTAACCCAACAGCATCTGGAGGCTGGAGCCAAGCCGCAACCGAGCTCTAGGCCGCCATCAAAGATCATCATCCTGATGCACTTCGACCGGTTTGGAGCTTTGCAGTTGGTGCACACAAACACCAATCACCTATGCTCCCCGCGCAGTGCCCCTCAGCAATGCGCGAAGCAAAAGGATGAAACATTCATTGTCTACACCTACAGAAAGGAGCACTGCGGTGGGGATTCAGATTTCCAGATAATATCTGTCAGGCAGTCTGGGATAGGGCGGTGAGAAGATGGAAACTGCCATCGCTAACTCGGTCGGCCGGGTGTGCTGAGGAGTTGTCGGATGTTTTTGGTAGGCTTTGTGCCGTTTGTCCTCGTCATGTGCTTAGTTTCCCGTGTGGTATCGAAGCACTGAACATCCCGGAACAATCTTGAACATTCGTATCTGGCCAGCCACCCGATGCCACTGACGAAACCTGCGCCGACGGGGTAGGGCAGAAAGCGCATGTAATACCTGAGCCATGTGGCTTGCTGAACTGCTCGTATTTGAGCTTTGGAGGTACACAGCGTCTGGCGTGGGAAGCTGAAAGCGACTTTTCCAGGTGGTGCAAGGGTTGCAATCGGATCCGACAAGCCTTTCCCTTAATGGTATCTGAAGGATATAATACAGAAGTGCCCAAAATGCACAATGGATGCCACAACTGATCAACATCGGTGAGGGACAGGCCATCCAGTTCTGCTACCGCCCACATCAGCAGCCCAATGAGGAGCGACATCAGCCCTTGCGCCACGAAGATGTGGAACCTCTTGTCATGTCGAGAGTACAAGCGAAACCGCTCTGCTAAATGTGACGGCTGAGGTATGCTCTGACAGCTCTCCAAAGCCTCAATCTTGAGGAACTGCAGCGCAGAAACCATAAGCTTCACGTGACAAAATCCCATGCTGCTGTTTGCGATGAAGTTCATTGTGCTCACCCAGGCTCACCCACGCCCCACACGTTGATTGTTCTTGCTACTTGGCGCCGTGGCACTGCTAGGCTTTCAAAGCACTTGTATCAACATCCAAAACGTCTCGACAGCTGCAAGTTCAGGATATTGGCCAAGGTGCAAGAGATCATCGCTTGGTACACCGCTGTAGGTGAGCGCACGGCCCATTGAAGCTAGGTACGAAGCCAGAAGCAGGTCGACATTTGTCCTTGGGCAACGTTGTTTCAGGCTTCGGGCTTTAGAGTGAGGCTTGAGAGTTTGGAGCCTAAAGGCCTAAACCCTAAAGGCCCTAAAGCTGTCAACCCTTGGCCCTTAACCCAACCGACAAAGGGAGCAGAGGCAGGGGGAGAGGACAAAGCAGGTGCTTCGAACCGATGTTTCGGGCCAACGGGGTGCCCTCGCCAGCAAGCCTTGTTGGGCTTGAAGGCTTGGAGGCTTCGTTGTTCTTAGCCGGCCCAAGAAGACTAAGGGGACCTTGCACTTGTGAACAAGAACTGATTAAACCCTAAATGAAGTCATTAGGGGCAGAGCATTTATCGAAGAGTGCTTTGCTTCATGCTGCAAAAGTGGCAATGCTGCGAGCATCGCCAGTAGATGAGGGAGGTGATGCCCTGACTGAAGAGCAGGGAGGCGAGCAAGGTGGGAAAGCTCTTCTCCAGCGACGGATTCGCAGCGGCCACGACCCCGACGAAGCTGACAGCATAGGGGAGGAGCACCTCTCGGAGAGTACTGCCAACAACATGACTAAAAGCAGGGTCTCTTCATGCAGCTGCAACCTTCCTTGTTCTCCCCAAGGTTGGAAGGATGTGAAAGTGTCAAACTATGTCAGCCAGCAGCTTACAAGCTCATGTCATGTTCAAAGTCGCTGCCAAGTCACCGCACTGCCGAGCACAGGGGACAGCAAGTCCTCCTTAACGAAGCTCGGCCTATCCTTTATGGGCACCAGGGCCTCCTCATCATTGTCATGCCTCACCTGCCGACCAGGGGAGTCGGACACTCGAGGACACTCGAGGAACTCGAAGAGATGTGAAGCCAACTCCCCCAAATTCCGGTAACAATGACTCTTTGCGTTGACTAAGTGTGAAACCGAGCGCTCCTCAGGATCAGCCAATGCCAACCCCTCAACAGAAAATTGATGCCTGGTCGTCGATCTTCTGGATGTCGTTCATTGGCGAAACAACCCGATATCAGCAAAGGCTGCGGAGCAAAGAGCGTGAATGATAGCAGTGCTTAAACCTAAACACTAAACCCGAATTCAGCCTCAACACAACTATGTCCGTCTCAGGGCGTGTAGCACTGCGGGGGATCCAAGATCTGCAATATCAAATTCTCGCGCAGCCACCCTAAGTCTTAACAACTTCAGGGACTCAGCCACTTCACTCAGCTCAGCGCTGCGACCCGCCAGCTTCGCAAGCCGATAGCCCTCATCTCCAAAACCACCGGGGGGTCATAGGTTGAGGTTCAGGGTTTGTGAGAGCAAGAACCTCTCCCGATCCTTGGGCGTTTCGGGATGAGGTGTGAATGCGTCTCTCCCCTAAAGTACTGAATGCCTGTCACCCCCGGGCGCTTATGCAAACAGTGAGAGCAGTCCTAAATTCAAAACATGAGGGTACCCTCGGCCATAGGTCAGAGTTGCTGAACTTGGGCCGTTGTTGCAGCAGGGTAGCTTTCCTGAAACAAGCAACTGGTGGCCTGGATCCTGAAGCAAGAAATCGTGCTATTCTCCCCCCCCTAACAACTAAAATTGGGGGGACCCCGCCCCCCCCCCCTCCAAACTTCGAACTTACATCGAAAGTTACACGCTTCTTATCCTGCTCTCACTGCACCTACCCACCCACCACATACTTGCTCTACCCTCTGTCTCTGTCCAATTTGTATTGCGCGCAGGAAATACACACCATGGACTACCACCGAGTTGCAGTTTGGATGACTGGAGTGGTCACAGTATTCCAGCAAAGCGGCTGTCTCCGCCCGGATGACTTCATGCATGATGTCCTTCAAGGAAGTCTTCCTACCCGAACTTTACACTGGCCTTACGCTATCTTGCACTTGTACACTGCTGTCAAGCACCGCGCCTTTGACTTTGACAAAAATGAGAGAACAGGTCACGGCCGGTACTTGCCTCCAACTTTGTTTGGGGATAGACCGTCAAAAAGCGTGCTGCCAGCAGCATGATATGCGCATGATTGAAAAAGCGACCGGTGACTTTAGTGTGGGACCTGCTCAAACAGAATGTTCTTCTGCCTTAACCTTAACAAGCATCCCGCTGCATTTTCAGCTTGGCTTGTTGGGACTCATTACTCCTTTTTTGAAACCGACTCCGCAGATTTCCAGGGCCGCCGACGTAGTCGTGAAGGCGCCGTTGGGCGATAAGGTGACGGCCATAGGTGACAACCTCAGGGAACTCCCGAGGCAGTAGGAAAGAAAATGGCAAGCTCTCGGTGTTCAGCATTCCAGAAGGGGGGAACTGCAAGATTGTGGGGTGGGGTTGTGTAGCAAGCAACATTAGAGTCTTGCGCTTTGAGAAGTGGAACAATGGCTCTATACAAGAAGCCTCTGTGAGGTTGCATACTCTTGTAGCTGGGGTCCCGCTTTCAAGATTTCAAAGCTGCGGGAGTGCCGTTGCAACCCATCTCTGAAAACAGCTTCGGCAGGTTCCATTCGGTTTCTTGTCACGGTTAGGGCTTTCCGACTAGACTCACTAGACTCCAAGTCAACTCACTGAGCAGCGGACGGCTTTCATGAAGACCTCTGGGCACTCGAGCTCGTTCCCTTGGCGAGGAGCGCTGTGGTGTTCGTTCGGGGAACTCAGGTACAGACGCGGCTTCTTGGGGTTAGGGTTTAAGGTTTAGTGTTTCAGGTTTGGGCTTCAGGCTTGAGGGTTTAAAACTCCTAGGGCCGTTAGGCCACTGACGGCCTTACGAACCGCAGACCACCCACGCACAACGCCTCTAGTGACCAAGGGAGGTATACATTCTTTCTCAATGCTTGCTTTGACAAGTTCAAGTTTGCCGAGACCGGATTGCTGAATTTGTCCTCGGAGCTGCAATTCTTCTCTGGGCGCGTCACTGGCAGAATGACAACCGCATGCCACTGCCAACCGCTGAGAGCGGGGCGTGCAGATCCAAAGATCTCCTGCGCACCGTCGAGCGTGGTGGCATCGAACCTCTCGATATCTGTGACTTTTCAGCGAGCTGCGATGGATGCATACACGGCACGACTGGCAAAAGCTTCCAATCCCTGTCTGGACTGCCATGACCGCCTGCAGCTTTCTGGCAAGCTCTCCGGCTGCAAGGAGGGCTCCGGGCTGGCAGCCTGATCGTACTCATACCAACCACCATACACACGACGCGATAGCTGCACAGTGTATTCATATTACATGAGTGCGTGTGTGTGTGTGTGCATCAATACATTTCATAACCTACGCTTCTTTGCTTCAACCTCTGAACCAGCCTCCGCAAGACTTCTCTTCTCATGACAGCTGCCAGCCCCTTGCCGGCTTGTCTATCTTGACATGCAAGACTTGATGAGCTCAAGGGAACAGCTTTGGAAATACAAAAAGGCCCAAGATGCTCAAGCCAACGTAACAGGCTCATGCGTCCGATTCTTTGAACCCCACACGGCAGGCATGAAGGCATGTCTCCAAATTGGCGCTTCGGGTAATTACTCCGCTTTTATGATGCGTTTTGCCCAACACGGCTTCTCTACTTCAAACTTCTGTGCTGCGCAGCCCTAAAAAGCATGTCGTGCTTGCCAAGCACGTCTATCCTGCGTAGTTGCCCTGGAACCTTCATTTCAAAGAAGGAGGCCCCCTATGTTGGTCGGACAAGAATCCTTGTGACAGCGACGGCCTGTACCTGCTTCGGGGCCACTGCCGGCATTTCGTCCAGGAGCTGGCGAGTCCAAAGGGTCTACGGCCAGTTGAGGGTTTAGGTTGATCGATCATGACCTTTCGATCCATGGCTGAGACAATTTCGTGCTATAGTCGCCGCTCAGGTATCTTCACAGGGCTTAGATAGAATACGGCGCAGCCGTGCGCCCATAGAATAAGAGAGCCCAGTAGTCTTGACCTTCAGGTTGGCTGCAGCAAAGAACAGCCGCAAAGAACAGTCTAATACACCAGCGCTGCGGCATTGCGCACTTGAGCTATCTTTTGCAACTGACGCAGCAGAGGGTTGCTCGAAGCGTGCTGAGTAGAAACGCAAGCTGCAGGCTGCAAGGCCTCCTGCCGGGCGTTGATGAGGCCAGACAGCATCTGCCCCTCAGCTTCACGAAGGCAAGCATTGGCACATACCGAGCTGACCGAGTTGTATTGAGGAGAGCGGCATCTCCACTGATGCAGTACCGCACTAAGCCGCTACCAAGATGCCACGATATGAAACAACTGAAACAACTGTGAAACAACTCTCTTCGTTTTTGAGCGATCTCTCTCTCTCTCTCCCTCTCTCTCCCTCTCTGCCGCTTTGCATTTGCTTTTTTGTGCCCCCCCCGGGCCTCCTCCACCTGCTCCTCACGGCACATGTGGCTCCAGCGCTGGCGGGCGCTTGATGGCACATGAATGACGACCTTAGAAACGGAGTGCAAGAAAAGGCCTCTGAAGTCCTGATGTTGAGGGTTCTGAGCTTCACAAGGAGGGCTAAATGAAATCCTCAGCATCGATGATCATCGAGGAAGGGGTCCCTGCTTTTGCAAAAGGGGGGGGGGGGGGGACCAAGCCTTTGGTGCCACAAGCGCACTGGCCAGCATTGCTGGGACGCTTGGGAAGTTCTTGGCCACGCACATCGCCCACTGTGCGGAACAGTGAGGGCCCCAATTCGTCTACCAATACGTGTGGCGCATGCATGCTTTCCAAGACGGCTGTCTGAGTTCCAAAGAGATGTCCTCGAGAAGTTGCGCAAGGTCGTGTAACCTTTGCCCGCAAGCGCTTTGAAATGGACAGCTGGTGTTCCACCCGCAGAACACCACTCTAGTGGGGCCAAGACTTGCAAATTCTAAACTAAGAAATGTAACATATAGGTAAACGTGCAGTAAGTTTAACATTCTGCACAGCATCCTATGAGCCGTGCTCCGAGATGACAGTCCTTCGCACGGCAGCCCGAGCACTCCACCGCATTCCATCTACCATGCATTAATTTCATCAAACTTCGCCGATCTCTGATTCGTTTGGCATCTTCTGCCTCGCTCATTTTCTGCTATTTCCACTTACGGCGAGCATTTCTTGTTTGTGATTGCCTTATTGCACACTGAGCGGGCGCAGTGTTCCTGTTCACCGATAGCGGCCCTCTTCCGAAAGCCTCGAGGATTTGAAGGCCAGGGAGGCGTCCAGAGTTCTGGAGGCCTCCCTGGCCTCCAGAGGTACCATGACTGGACCATGACCACTATGTCATCCACTGGATTCCAGCCACCTTACGGGACTCGGGACACAACCTGCGACCCAGACAAGACTCAGCGATGCCCCGAAAGACCCGTCCCATGGCCCCTTTAAGCATGGTAGAGGGTTAGCCAAAACTTGGGCAACAGGTGTTGTCATCGTGGTACACTCACCTGCAACCCCCCGTCAAAAGCAGACTACTCCCGACAGGGTCGTCATCACACGGCCTGCCTAGACATGAGCTGTATCGCAAATGGCATAAAGATCGCCAAATGGTTAAGGGTTCTGATGCTGGGTGGAGGATTTGGGGAGGGGTTTTGGAAGTCGCACACTCTTCAACACAAGAAAGCCGAGATCACTGAGCTCTGAGTTGCCGGCGGCCCTCAGCGGCACCTCGCCGATGGAACATGGAAAACCCATTGGGCCATTGGGGCCCTGTTGTCACGGGTTGGAACTCCAAAAACTGTCTTCCCTGAACAACGGCTCTCAGGACGAGGAGGTCAAGGCCAGCTCGCCAATTACGCGGTACATCGGCACGCACCGCCAAGTGATTCAGAATCATCCATGCTACAGACCTTGCCGGTCAAGTGCATTGCTTTCGCGTCCAGTCCTTATGCACGGTACGTAGTAGGTAATGGAAGGTGGTCCTGCATTGCTCAGAGGACCTCCTCGGTCTTAGGAAGCTGTGGGGCGTTTAGTTTCGACATGCACATGCTTCGCATACCGGTCACTGATGCGACGTCCAGCCGAGGCCCCCACAACGAGGCTGGAAATGGCAGGAAGCTGACGGCGCATGCCCAGGCCCTGTCGCGAGGAGATCAAAATCTAGGAAGTCTAATGCTTAGATAAAGGCTTTGGCTTGAAGTGATGTTGATTGGTTTGTGAAGGATTGTGCGGGGGCACTGAGCCATGGAAGACCGTGAAAACCCCCCTGAGAAGGGGATCAAACAACAGAATTGCTAGCAACTCTGCTCTGGTCGCTCGCCTTCCTTCCTCGCCCCCCAAAGCACCTCAAGCATTACCCCAAATTGGGATTGTCCGCCGGCGTGGCTTTCTTCATCTTATCGAAATGATCTACGCAGGTTGCATTCGACTAGGTTCTCCGGTTTGCAAGAGCCCAGCCAGGCTTCAATCAACAGCTGCTCAGACTACATTGCCACCTTGCAACTCCGCATATTGGACCCAAACTCGCAGCAAGCGAGCAAGCCACACTGACTGGAAGCTACTCGCACAATGGCCAAGTTAGAGATGGAAGGCTTGCTCCATCCTACTCTGGGCAACTAAGCACCTCAGCTCCATCAAGCTGGGGTGAAAGGTTGTGTGCAAACTACTCGCACAACCCTGGAGCACTGGAGATGGTGCGAGACTGTGAGCTTCATGAGATGGCGTGCTGAGGGCAGCCGGCTGCCTAGAAAATGTTGAGCCGAGCCCCTTCAACCATGAGTAGCTTCCACCCTGCGAGTTGTCTTGAATGGTCCTTTGCAGACGCCCACAGAGTGCTCTTTTCACTATGGCTAAGGGTAGTAATTACCGATCTTCACATATCGGCATAATTCGGCATGATTCGGCATGGCATACTCTTCAGAGCCACTTGGCTGCGCCGGGGGCGGCTCTTGGCTAGTAATATTGTCCTTCAGGCAGCAACATTTCAAAAGCGAAGAGGACCTACCAGTAGCAGCTTGTTTTACGTCTTGGCTCTTCGTGCTTAGGGCATGGAGCTCATGGGTCGGACATGGTTGCAGGGATTCCTGCAATGTAGCAAGAAAACAGTCTGCCATGACCCCTCATTACCCGCAACAAGAATGAGCGGCTTACTTGTTTGAGCCTTAAATTCCGGCGAAAACATCAGCCTCCTCAACCCTCAACCTATCAGTCTCCGACCCCGAAACCCCAAAAATGGAATCCTGAAAGCCCTAACCCTGAGACCCTCAGAAAGGCCGTCTAGAAAGCCCTAAGCTGAAAGAGTCACCAGCCCCTCTTTTAAGACTCGCCACGGTCACTGGAAAATTGCTGGGCCCTTTTCGCGGAGTTCGGTGAGCCCGGCCTTGACAAAGAAGCGCTTCAGATCTAGCTTGAGGCTTCGGTTGTATTGAGTAGTTGGGGTGAACTGGCCGTGAGTCGCTGAGGTCAAACCTGCCTTCAGCCGCTTCGCCGCCTCGGCACACTTTGCTGGCGGCAGGTTGGCGTAACAGACACGGATCTCGCCAGGGGCGCCTGGCACCGGCGTTGGCTTTGGGCACAGGCGTAAGGGAGGACTCGGGGAAAGGGTAGATGTCAGGGTGTCGGGCGCATGTACTGTGTTGAGGCCTGTAGGGTTTCCTGTAGGGTTCTCGGGGCTTGATTAAAGGACCTCGACAGGGGAGTGTAGGTTTGCTCCACTATGGGGTCGGAGGTCTCTTGAGCTTCTCCTTCCGTTCGTTGTTAAGCGAAACTGTGTGTGTGTGTGTCAATCCTGTCCTGCATGGGCTGTCCAGCACACAACACACGATTCTACAGCCCATGCAAGAGAGAAGGGTCAAGGATTTTCGGGCTGCAAAAATTCAACAGTCTTCCGATGAACTTTGCAGGGGCATTTCAGGGGCCCGTATTTTGTATTTTGGAGGATGTTGGCGGCCTAGGGTTCTTCTGCCAGATCCTGCCCGACATTTGAATGTCGCCAAGAAATAGCGAGGCTTAGGGCTTAGGGCTCACATGCTGCCGGCTGGCCGCAGGCGGATCCAGGAATGGCGCAAACGCGATGCCTCCGCCAAGCGGTGGAGTCAAGGAGGCAGCCCGTTGTCAATCGTAAGGGCTGTAACTAGTACAACACTCTCCACCTCAAACCCAGGGAGATAGGGCCCTTTCGGAGTGACACAGGAATCATGTCCTCCGCATGTGCCTAGCCACCCTCCCATGCCAGCTTCCTCAAACCTTCAACCATTAGCAACGCGCTGAATCTGAGACTCAGACTTCTCGCTGAGCCATTCCACTACCCGCGTGTCCTGAGACTGAGGGATGCTGAATACTTGAAGCGCAGGCGCAGAGCGGCACTTTACTCAGGTTGGCCAATGTTCTCCCCAGGTCTCCCCATCTTTCCCCGAACTTTCCCCATGCCCTCTCGGAGGCCCCAACGTTCTGAAAGCCCTCAGGCAGCTTCGCCATGAGGTAGATCGCACCCGAGCCACCTTGCGGGTGTCTGGAGGTCGATTCTAGGCCCTAGGCGTCAGGACTACTCCATGTTCTTAGGAGTGTTGATGCAAGTCGACAGAATAAGCAGTGTGAGTTCGTCAAGCGGCTGAAGTTGAAGTAGGATATGAAGCCTCAGAGTGAGACCTGCAGAGAGAACTGCCCAAGTTGAGGGATTCAAGCAGCGGAACGGCGGCTGATCCTCGAAATCGCAACATATTCTCAACACAGCACTAACAAACCAAAACCACGCACAAGGATTCGTACTCTGAGAATGATTCCCAAACCTGCAAGCAACTTGAACCCGAAGCCCTGAACCTGGAATGCCTGCACGTTGCATCCAACACGACACGCCTACACGCGAATACACACATGCACACACACACACACATATCTAGAGCTCTCACAACTTCACCCCTTGGAATAGTGGAGGAGGGCTACCCTTGCCTGCCACACTGCCAGGGCCTTGGCAGCTGTCGAAGAACTCGCAGAAACTTTTTCAAAGAAGTGTTGGGTCAATGTGCGGCTTTGCCATGGGCTTGCACTCTTAAGGGTACCGAAGGTTCCTGAAAGCCTTCTTCCGGTACAGCTCCTTTCCAAGGCGGAGGCCCAGTGTCTCGGTCAAAGCTTCGATGACCAAGCGCTTGTTCTCCTTGAGGCCGCGCACACGGTCCTTCCTCGGCGGATTCAGAGGGCTTTCGGATGCTTCCTTTGAGCACCAGCCTGGCAACTTAGTAGCCTGAGTTTAAGGTTTGGGGTTTTACGGTCTAGGCCGTGCGAAGAAGGGAGATGATACGAAATGAGCATACGAGCACTTCCCTCAACACGTGAACACAGAACCTGAGTTGCATGCGTGCCACCAGACAGGACCACAAGCTACGAGAACTAGCAAGCTCCTCTCACTATGTTGAAGCCTGGGGTAGAACCCCAGCCATCCGGGCTTCTCACATGTTAATGCTGAGGCTGAAACACCCACTCGCGGCCAGCGCCAAGAGCTGCAAGGGCAACCTTGTCAAGCTAGGGCAGCTAGGGGGGCAAACAAGGCGGACGCAAACACAACCGTCATCAGCAAGTTCTAAGCCTTTTCTCGGGTTCTCTATCGATTTGTTGACCCCTGCGGTGCAGTCACAAGAGCATCCGCGAGCCAGTGAAGCTGGCTGAAGGTGAATTGGACAAATTGGTGGACTGCGAAGCCCCCAATGAAGAATCATGGTGAACCCCTCCCACTCTGCCTTTTGGGAGACCACTGTGGGGCAGATTGCGATGGTATCCTGGACCTGCGCGTCATGATCACGCATGTGCGAAAGTTGAGCCTTTGAGGTGTCGGCGTCTTCAGGAAGAATCCGAAGAATCCGAAACCTAAAGCCAAGCTGTAAGGGCTTGTGCAATAGAGGTGCTTCTATTTAGTTTGGGTTGCGGGTCTATGGTGATTGGTGGTGGGTTTGATTGCTGAGAGGATCAGCTTAGACAACTCGGACTCGAAACGGGTGGATGGATTGACTTTGCACTTGCAGAGATGACTCCCCAGCAAATCGGGTACTATATTGCCCACACTCACACGCAGCACGACAACCACAACTGCGACCATTACGCCAGTTCGGCGATCTAGCAATCGAAGCCGGCACCGTCCCGTCTACTCGTGCGCAGAAGGGTTCCATTCCAGGCTCTCAACCAACTGCCAACTGTCTGGAAATTCGATGAGCAGATTCTAGACCCTCACCCTCACCCCCCTTTCCTACCACCCTAAGCCCCTAAACCCCCCCAACCCACCCCCACCCCCCCCCCTGACCGCCCAAGAAAAAGGAAAAGCCAACCCGTGATCTATGTTCACAAGCGAATACTCGAAGGAGCCAAGGGATGCACTTTCATGAGCTCGGGGAGGAGACTGGGTGGAAAAGCCTGGGAGAAGAATGCGAGGCAAGTCCAGAGCTTCCGTTTCAGCTTGGAAGATTTCGGTGCTTTAGGGCTTTAGGGCAGGGAGGTCTGAGGGTGCTTTGATGTGCTTTGTGTTTAGGGTTTGGGGAGTCGGCTGTGAACTTGCATGCGGCGTAAGATCTAAAGAAGATCAGGCGCTCGGAGATGGGGTAAGGCCCGGGCCAAATAGCCTGCCACACGACCACATTCAAAACACCTAGGGCCTAGATGCTGAAGGTCCATATCTCCGGAACGCAGATTCTTCTCAACTCTCCTTCGTACTGTTTTCAGATGTTTCTTCACACCTCTGGTGCTGTGTAAGTAAGTCCTACACGGATGCACATATTGACCTTAGCTCATGGCCCCGACTTCTGCTTCTCCCACGACCGTGCACGCAATCAAAGATCGGGCGCCTACGCGCCATCCCATCATTCCGAAAGCCTGCCCGTGCAGCTTGAAAACACTTCGCAGCGCCGAAAAGTTCTTATCGTGGTTTGGTGGCCTTTGCTTTCGAAATCGGCTTGCTCTCTTATTGTTGTTCTGATTACATAACCGGAAACAGATGTAACTAAATGTTCATCGCGTGTTGAATACATGGACAAGTTCCCCAAACAAAGGGTGGACAAGAAGGGGTCCAATCTGAAGCATAAGACGGGTCAAATCGTTCCCGCGCGGCGCACCTGCTGGACCATGGCTTTTTGCCTGAAGCTTGCGTACTCGCATTCTGGACGAAAAAGCGTGCTCTCGCCTAGGTGCGGCCGTCGCTGCAGATGCCATCCTCGAAACCGTCATCGCTTTGGGCTTCCGGGCTTAAGAAATGCAGAACTGTCGTCGCTTTTGGATGTTAGGGCGCGCGAAATGCGGACTTGTCGGAACTGAATCTAATGACCGAATTGGATATTCATATTGCAAAAGGTTGGTGGAATAAGCGGAGGGTCTCCGTTCACTTTAACAAGAGACCGCGAAACCATGCAACCAAAATAGCAGGCACAAAAAGATGCCAACAAAACCCCTCACCTGAACCCAGCTTCTAGAACGGATGAATGGAAAATCGACGGCTGGGCTGGCCTTGCTAAAGGAGAAGACGTTCACCACGTGGTCTCCACTGATGCAACTATGGGCAGGATGCCCCTCCTGCCACAAAGGATCATCAAACAGTTTCACACTACTGCATCGATCCGGTGGTTAGTGTGGCATGACGGCAGACATTCACATGTTAACAAGGCCTGCGTGTTTGCCATGCTGCTATTCCAGTTGGATTTGCCAATCCTGTTGCACAAGTATGTTGGGACTAGGAAGTGTTGAATGGAATGAGCACAGGGTTGCTGAAGGTAACACCGGTTCCAAGCCTTTCAGCACAAAACCTCACCAATAAACCACAACATCGAAGCATTTTCGAGATTGTGAGGCTCAGCGGTTCCACTCAACTTTCATATGCTTGGAGTTGACAAAAGACGATGTGACGAGGTGGCAAAATGCCTCCTCGTAGGTGAAATGCTCATAGGTGTTGTCCATGACCAGCCAGGCGTTGTGCTTCTCGCACAGGGAAGACAACCTTTCGAGCCTGCAGCTTTGCAGCTGCCCGCTACAGCTAAGCCTTCCAACTCTGAACCCCGCTTTCTAGATTCATGCAAACTATATTCTACGTCGGGGCTCCGAGAATACAGGTCCGTGCACTCCATGTCCATGGGGTCGCACCGAACCCCACTGCGTGACTAAACCAATCTTTGCGCAGAATTCCCCCTAGGCTGCCGGGCACTGGCTTGGGCAGGATCATGCCGGTTGGATTGCCAGGATTGACCTATGCAAAGAAATGGAACAAAGTTCAAGGCTCTTGACGAAAACCGGATGGAAGGTCGACGGCGCTGCAAGCTTTGGCAAGCCATATGTTCAATGCATCAGGTAGGGAAGGGGTCCAGAACGCATCCACTGCGCATATTGAGCTCTCCATCGTGCTCACTCACCCATCTGGCTTGAAAGAAGGTGGGCTCAGTTCTGCTAAGTGACCCAACCCAATCCAGCCGACCGAGCCTGTGTCCTATCCCCGGGCTGCAGAGAGTGGTGAACCTCACCCTGAACTGAACTTTCTTGCGGTGTCTTCCGCAGAGTCTGACACCCCACCCGTACTGACAAGCGCAGTTGAACTTGCATGGGTTTAGGAGTTTAGCCGTTCAGGGAGTTCTTTGTGTTCCATTAACCCCTTGTAGGGATGCTTCAGCACGATCCCCAAAGCTATATGTTGCGACGATAAACGTGAACTTCAACATGCCTTCGCATATGCTCTCATAAGCTTGGCCATGTGCCACAGTGACCATGCGAATACGCTCGCCAGCTGGTGGCTCGCACAGCCTGGCCCAGATAGTCCCCCAGTAACAGCAAGCCAACACCAAAGTACGAAACCAGTTAGAGTGCAAACGTGTGCAAATACCTGCAGGGATGGTGATGACAGCATTTCGTACCAGTACCCGTGGCGAATTGGGTTCGCACATCTACGGAATCTACGGCAGCAGCCAGAGCCTGCGCAACATCATATGGTGGCGCTCTTGATTCTTGTAGTGGCAAGTGTAGGCCGAAGAATTACAGGTACAAGGGGGCGATTACATCCTCCAATCAAGCTTCTCTAAATCCAATTCTGGCCACCAAAACTCGGAGCAGAAAGCATGCCTCTTCTCCAACCAATCAACATCTGGAAGATACTCCTCGCACCGGCCATCATGATCATAAAAACGATGGGCACGACACGGCCATCTGTAGGGTTGCCGCGCCGAATCGCATACTTACACTCCCTGGCAGACGCAATCGTCCTCAATTTCTGCGGAGGTTTCGGAGAATATCGGAGATGAGCATGTTCTATTCGGATGGCTGTGAGAGGCAGTGAGAATTGGGGGAAAGAAGACTTGATGTAAAGACTTTTGCCGGGCGCTGAAGCTCCTCGACTGCTCCTCAGGTTGCACCGATATCGTTGCACGAGTGCTCCGCTTCTGTGCTTTTGTGGTATCTGGGTTTTGCCCTTTTGCAGCTACAGTACAGGCCCACAAGTGTATTTGTGGGTACAACCCCTGGTAACGGCAATGCGGCAATGCAAAGATGCTGCTATTTTAAGCCAAAGCGCAGTCCGTCCAATGATAGTTAGCCATGGCAACAACAGAAAGAAGCCCGGCAGTCCTTGGTGCTGGGCGCCAGCACCACAGAGGCGTGGCCACCGGTCATCTGCAATGCCATCCTGCTTTTAAGGGTTTGGGCCCCTAAGCCCTCAACCCTGCCTTTTTACCCAGCTCAAGGGCTTAGGGTGCACGGCTTCTTCCGCCAACTGAACCCTGAGGGCTCGAGACCCTAAATTCAACACCTCAAGGCCTCTAGTGTCCACAGCTTCCAACGGTGACCCCTTCTGAACTTTCAGAAACATACATCTTCAACTTGAGGTCAGAAGCAAAAGCTCTGATCTGTCGAAGCGGCGCTGGCTGATCCGAACCAAAAGTGCATGTGCTTGCTAGCAGACTGCGGCTGCCAGGCTGAGATCGCGGCCGGTGGTTGAAGTAAAACGGGCTGAACAAAACAGCTGCATCCTCTGGTCAGCTTGCGTAAGGGGGAGGGATGCAAGCAGTCTCTCTCAAACGGGCCATAAGACCAAGCTAAGGCAGCTAAGGGCTGGGTTGTTGAGGGCTTTTCTGATGGTGTTGACGGCGACAGTTGCAACATTTTCATCGACTTGCGCCCAGGTTCAGTCCTTCGAGTCGAGCAAGGTGCACACCAAGTTCGTGTAGGCCTGGTTCGCTCCAGCGGTCACCATGACCTAGCAACGCGAGGTACTGAAATCGCGGTAGCAACGTCATTTTTTTTTCAGTTTCGATTGTTCTGAGGAATTCGGACCCTCGTTGAAACCGTGATGCTCGCCTCCACACCTTCCAAGCCGTTCTCCTTGCGCAGCTTCTCCTGGCAAGACCGGAACCTACCTATTCTGCAATGTCCCATCTCGAGGAAGTCACTATGTCACTATGTGTCTCAGATTGAGAACCGAAGCCCGAAAGACTGGAGGCCTTCAGCGGTTGACAGGACCGATGTAACCTAAAAGTCATGAGCCCTGCACTCGGGCACCCCACGCTTTCTCGTCAGAAATGTGCTTCCTAAGCCCTTGCTGGATCCTTCAAAGCTTCTCGAAGAATCGGCCTCAGTAGGCTACTTTTTTCGTCAGCTTTCTCAGCTTCTTGTTTCAACTACGACAAGTCCCCTCAGCGATTGATTCGGCAATTGCTTGTTCGCTGTGAATCTCAAGCGGCACAATGCCGTCGCAACTCGCAACCAACATCATAGCAATGCGAGCAATCCAAGCCAATCCACCTGGGGCGCAGGCAAACCATCATCTGCACCTAGGCACTGAGGGCTGCGGCGGAGCTAGCAGCTAGTTGGCAAGATGGTTTGCATGTGCTGAATAACATTGCTTCGACTAACGATTCGATTCTTCCGACGACGGAGCCCGGGGCCTGAACGCGCAGCAAGCCTGGCAAGCCTAAATTAGCTGCTAGGAGCGCGGCAATAAGAGTTCGTGTCGGGCTCGCCTGCCGCTTTCGCAGCTGCCTGGCTTGGAACCCGCAAAGGACGCGGAGAACCTTCATGACACCTTGAGGTCTTGATCCCGCTTCGATGCACCCTGCTCCTGCTGGGCAAGGCAGACAATGAAAACGATGCCGGAAAAGGAAATTTGCAGGCGAAGCCAAGGACTCTGTGCAGAAGTGAAGACGGTGCCCATTTCTCTAGCGCTGCAGAAGCTCTTTGCTTGCCTCGCTGGCAGCTGCTGGAGGGGCCCAATGCACAATGCCCTGCGCAAGAGACATGATGCCCTCCTGCGCACAGGCGCTCGCAAGCTAGAGGGTTTTAGACAGTTTGCAGTCCTTCCACTAGCCCATGCAAGGGCATGCTGTGACAGCTTCAGAACGCTAGCTTTGCTGGTTGCCTCGACGGGTTAAAAGGGTTTTTGAGAGGGTTCGGACAGTACAATCTGGAATCTGGAATCGCGAGCTCCGATACCTTCGACTCAAAAGCTCTGGATGCCATCCCCGACCAGGGATAGGGCGTGCCTTGCCCCGAAGCATCCTCTGCCTCAACTGAGAGGGAAAGAGAGGCAAGCTATGGAACACCATAGGACTCAAAGGAGAAGTGGAAGTAGACGAAGCAGAAGTCCTACTGAAAATAGTTGTCGTAGTGGTGGCTGTGGTGGCTGTGGTGGTTGGCGGTGGGTGGCGGTGGGTGGCGGAGGGTGGCGGAGGGTGGCGGAGGGTGGCGGAGGGTGGCGGAGGGTGGCGGAGGGTGGCGGAGGGTGGCGGAGGGTGGCGGAGGGTTTAGGGTGGTGAGCGGTGAGGTGGTGGGTGGTGAGCGGTGGTGGGTGGTGCGCGGTGGTGGGTGGTGGTGGATGGTTGTGGGTGGGTGGTGGTGAGTGGTCGCGGGTCGCGGAGGTGGGGGTGGTGGTGGTCGTCGTGGTCGTGGTAGTGGTGGTTGCGGTGATGGTAGTGGCACCGGCAGTCGTCCAAGAGTGATCCTACACAAAAATCATCATCGTAGGAGCAGCAGTAACAGTACCAGTAGCACTAGAAGCAGGAGTAGGAGCAGCGGCAGCAGCAGTAGCAGTGCTGAGTTCGGCACATGGCGACGATGCATGGCTCGTCTGTCAGTCGGATACGCTTGCTGGGCTGGAGCACCTTAATTCTTAACATGGAATCATGTAGAGGCTGAGGGCATGCAGACGGTTGGAACTTGGCACATACTCTTTGACTCTCGGGAGCTGCATCAGAGCGAGCATGAAGGCCACCACGACCAGAGTTTGTAGTCAAAGGATTCTGAAGGTTCAACATGCTCAGGCCCCGCCTCTTGGCTGGAAGCCGACATGGCCGACTTCTGGCAGAAGAGGTACCTGCTCAGTCTGCGCGAGTGTGTGGAATTAAGGATGTTGGCAGATGAGTTTACCAAGAATCTTTAAGTCGCTTGGAAGTTGCACAGAAGAGCAGATCATGGTTTTGGCTGCCCCAAAAGCATTCACAAACTTGCCCTGCCTCGGGCCAGCTGCTCCAACTAGAGCTAGAGCTGACGCAAAGATGCGCCTGGCTCAGCTTCACAGGCTGCAAGACTTCAGCTTGCAAGTTTCGCTCAAGAGGGGTTCAGCCTCCCCAAACTGTGACAAGCAAGCAAAAAGGCGCCACAAGCCTGGTGGCCACTGCACGCGGCTTGCACGGACCAAGCATAGAAACCTCAACCCTGAAGTGAGCAGATACTGTGAAGGAGGCTGAGGTGTTCGTCTGCAAATGAGCTCTGAAAGACGATTGGCTTCCTAGCTGCCCACAGTTAGATAGAAACAAGTATACAAGAATTCAGATGCCCCGAAGCAAAACACAAAGGGAATTGTGCAGATTGTTCAGGATGACATGGCCACGGCTCAGCTCCCTTCTCTGAGAGCATCATGCCCAGAAGCTGCGAGCCAGATCAGAGAGGAAAAGCGAGGCATACTTCGAAAATTCTGAATAGCTAACAGGGTTCAGGACTTGGGCTAACAGTGTTAAGGATTAATGAAACTCAAGCCCATGGCCGTGGCAGTCCAGGTTCATAACATGCTTGTCTGCGTGTCCACACGTCCCTTCGGTACTCCGGTACTCCTGCGGGTTATGGACTGGCAACTGTGGGGACAGAGGCGCTCCACATTCTTGTTCCCAGCTGCACCGCCAGGTTAATGCAATCCCCAAAGCCTCAGGGCACATGCCCTAAACTACCCACTGCATCCGCGGACGGGACAAGCCCTTCTCCGGGAAGCAACATGCAGCGCGTGCGGATCCTCTTGTAGGTTGTGCAGTTCGCCAAAGCGACGAAGCTGGCTTTGGAGGCACGCAATTAGCAAACTATCACTCTTTTGTATCTTACAGCGCGCTGTTGCAAAGATATCTCTGATCCGATATCGCGACACGCAGCGCAGCAACCAATAACATTTCCACATTGCTCAACGAAGCTCGTGAAACTTCTTGCTACTTAAAAATCTCGGTCTCAGGCACGGCTCCTGCTACGCTTCCCGGGCCGTGCAGCCCGAGCAGGCGTAAGAGATCCAAAAAGGCTTCAATGTCGACAAAGGCAAGCGAGCACGGAGAGCACTGGCACAGCTCTGAGAGCCCCCTCCCGTTTCCCTGTCCTGGGTACGAGCCTCAGTTTAGACGCCGGGGCTTCTGGGGCGTTTGGTTCGCTTCCTGGCCAGGGGATCACAGCAAAGTGCGGGAATTCTGAGCACCGCTGCGCAGCAATTTAAACATTACGACGTTATGGCGGCCGGAGCTGCGCCCCATCGCCTTGGGTGCAGCTGCGCTGGCCGCAGCTGACTCGGTGGCAGATCGCCTCTGCGCCTGGATGAGGTTCGCTCTGGTACGTGTATCTGAAAGTTGGGCACTGGAAGAAGTTGCCACCCCAGTGAGTCTGAACATGGACAGCCGTGCCAAGTAAACAGCTACACTCGAACTCTTTTACTTCGCGATGGATACTCGACTGATGCTCGGGTCGTGGCCACGAGTGTCTGCGCCTTCTCTCGCTGTGTGACAGCCTGCCGCGACAAAGCGCTGAGGGAGGCAACGCGGAAATGGCGGAAATGCCAAGGCCTCCAAGAGCCCTTTCTCCAGCTCGCTCCTGTGAAGCTTGGGGTGCTACTGTACATCTGACGGGAGAACTGCTGGATGCTGCTGCAAGCTCCTGATGTGGCTAACATTCGCAGCCAACCATTTAAGACATTTTATGATCCATGTGACTGCGGTACCCTCAACATTGACAGTGTCCTCTTCGCGGCTTGGGCGGCCAAGGCCTCTACCTCTTGATGCTTTGCCTGGTGGCTGAGGACACTGGGACCTACAGCGACCTAAACTCAGCCTAAAACTCCAACAACAAAAGTAGGTCAAGGCTGGAGCTTTTGGGGGAATTTGTGGTCCAGAGGCCCGGAATCAAAGTGTGTTGAGGAGACAACGCTCGCACACAAGAAGCTTCAAAACTGTCGCCTCGCTGCTGTAATGAACTCTGCAAACGAGTGATAGCAAAAATAACAACAACTCTGCTTGTGCTGTTGCCAAGGACGGAACGAGGTTCACTCCAAAGAGGGGGTATGCGTTGTGGATGAAGTCCGTCGGGCAAGACTAGCAACTTCTGACGTCACAAGCGCATTCTGGTGAATCCAAAGTTCTCCACCGTACAGCTTGCAACCAACCTGCGAAAAGCCTCGTGTAGCTGCCCCGACGAGGCTAGTACTTTAAAGCGGGTATGTGTGTACGCACATACATGGGAGCACATGCACAATCGTAGACACGGATGGAGTTTAGACCAATTGTTAACACTGGCAAAATGCAGTCTAAAGCGAATACAGTTGCAGGATCCGGACACCTGAAGGACGGCCTCCAAGTTGTGCTGCTCCTGGTCGATGCGATAATGTTGAACCATCGGCTCAAATTTCCCAAATTACAATGGGCTTAGGACCGGGCTTACAGGACTTTGTAGATTTGTAGGGCGGTCTCGCCAAAGCTCAGTGCAGGCCTTCGCCGCCTTTTCTGCGCATTGCTGCGCCTTTGAAGCCGCAGTGCGAGCCTCTGAGGCTTCGTTTAGTCCGGTTAAAAAAGCTTATCGGGTTTCGGAGAACCGAATGCCTTGGACAAAGCTGTCAATATACCGGAGCGTTCAAATCGCCCATGGCTTCTGAATCTAGATACTCCTGTTGAGGTGTGGTTCAGAACTGAACTTCATCATGATGCCTGGCTTTGGGCGTGAGGTTAGGGCTTGGATAAG